ACGTGCACGGGCTAGCTGTTATATATATAATTATTGTTATGGCTACTTTGCCAGTTGATTGGTTACAAATGATTATAACGTGATTAAACTTTGGAATCAAGTTTACTTAACTACTGTTTATAACAGTAACGTACCTTTATAGTTAATGTACTTAACTTGAACTTTATATAAAATTGGGGTGACACTTTTAGGCTATATGATATATAGAAAACCCACTTGGATATCGAGTTTTCAATACTTTAGTAATAACAATTACACCTAACGCAATGTTAAAATGATGCAAATGCTATACTTTGTAAATAGTGCAAGATTCCAAGTAATTTATCTAAAATACTAATTAATTGTTTCTGTGATTTTGACACTTAGGCAGCTGGGCAGAGACTGACTGTCCGCAGCTCTATTTATACCCAATAATGTAGTTATATTTAATGATCGTTTACTGAAGTTGAAGAAATCAAGCATCTAAAAGATATTAATGATGGGCCGAATATTGGTACGAATGGCATTGAGATCGAATGATTTTAAGGGCGAATTGTTCTGATATTTTAGAAATAATAAATATGCCAGTTATATCAAATTATTGCTACGAAATAGGTTGTTAAATCTATTCATTTAATTTTATGTATTTTTTTACTTATCTATAAAAGATTAAACTATACATTTAAACACAATATTACATATTTGTTTACAATTTAACTTATCGGGAATTTAGGTATAAAACCACTAAATATCATTATAGAATCTAGGCAGAATAGAACAATCGTCACAAAATGTTACAACGTTTATACTGATAATGAGCATAATAATATGCAAAAACTTAATTTGTTAAAAAAACATTAGGGAACCACATTGTCTGGGTTTGTTTACAATGGTTTAAACTGTTGATGTAGTAATACGTATGTCTTTACATTTAGCAAACAGTACTAGAAAGCGAAAAATGGAAGTCACTTTTGTCAAAACGAATAAAGAGAACCGAACAGTAAGCCTGTGTCTTCTTTCTTTAAAGGACTATATTGGGTTGTAGAAAAACCCAAATGTTTGACGAAGTGTATTACCACGGAACTATTCAAAGTTTACTGTCGATAATTACGTTTTATAACCAAAAACTTGTAAATTTGTCCCATTTTAATGTTGAAATAAATATCCAGTTTATCCTAGTATCTCTGTTTACCTCCATTGGGAGATATTTTGAGTCATTGGATGTCAAATTATTAAGTCTTTTATTATAAATATAATTATGTAAGCTGACGTAGGTTAAAGTCGTCTTGTATGCATTGTACTGAATCAATAACAGCTCTAAAATCTGTGTATACATGCTGTCAATAGCTGTTACCTAGACTTGCTGGAACTATTTTTATGTGCATGAAATACTACACAGAATATTTATAAGTTTTGTAAGTGATGGCTTTCTTAAAGATAACATAAACAAGGTATACATAAATTGCTTATCAACATACATAACTTTGGACTCATTTAATTATTTTTATTGAAGAAAAAAAGGTAAAAATGGGAAAATATCTATACAGTATGGTAATAATGAAATGTTATTTATGAAAGGGTACAAACAAATTTGGTATTAATTCATTTATTAATTTTACTATTGTTAAACGTTTTTTCTTGTCAAGTCATACGCTTAAATTAAGGTTACTAATATAATAGTAAATGCTACTACTAGGAAAGACAACATCCAGAATTTGGTCTGTATTTGTATTTAGTCGAATCAAAATCTCTATCAGATGTTGACTTGGAAATTTGAAAGAGTGTTAAGCTAGGTAGCAGTTTAACTGTCAATGTTACTCATTCCTATGCAAACTGGAATCCCCTCAGTAAAATTTATTTGTCGTTGAATATAGTCTTATCAGTAACTTTGACTTCCTTTAAAATATCTAACATAAGACAGTAAGTAACCTCAGGCTGGTGAGTTTGTCTGTTTTTTGTTGTTTTTTTTTAGTTTTTTTTTTAGTTTCTTTTTCTAGGAAATGTAAAATCTACAACGTTTCAAAACTTATAGGCCTATAATCATTGAAAGTTCGCTGATGTTAATTGAATAAAGGCATAAAATGGCAATCATGCAAGAGAATTATGTTTGGTGAATAACTAAACACTAAACACCTAAAAGGTATGGTAAACGGAAACTACGCCGGTGCGTGTTTTTGTTTCCTTCTTGTCGCTGACGGTTAATACCGAACATGAGCGGATAAATAGGTTTATTTACGATGATGTAGTGGACGGCGCGTATTTTATCTCCTATTGAAAAACGTGTAAACCTGGATTATGCTGATCCGAATCGTGTCTTCTCCAAATCCCTCTCGAGACGTGCACGTCGCGGAGAAGGCACTCGGCAGGTCAAGGGCAAGTCGTCTTAAGTAACTGAAATGTTATGTATGAAAGGGTACAAACAAATTTGGTATTAATTTATTTATTAATTTTACTATTGTTAAAAGTTTTTTTCTAGTCAAGTCATACGCTAAAATTAAGGTTACTAAATTAATAGATAAATGCTACTACTAGGAAAGACAAACATCCAAAATTTGGTCTGTATTGTATTAATTCTTCAAATCCCTCCCGAGGCGTGCACGTCTAGGAGAAGGCACTCGGAGGTCAAGGGCAAGTCGTCGCAAGTACCCAGAGACGATTGGTTGACCTGTCGTGTCTAACTCGAGAGGGTGGTGCTAACAAGAGCCGTTTTATGTTAACCGCCTGTTTGCTGCCGTCACGGAACATGATGCTAAATGCCACTTATGTCTTTTCTCCAACGAACGAAGAACATGATTAGGAAGATCAGCTTGAAAAAGACGTCCCCGGTGAGACTTCTAGACTGAACCTGCATGGACGCTGAGATTTCGGACATATGGAATTTCCGGCGCCGAGCTAAAATAAACCTAAAAAACACACACCGAATCATGATGCGTTTGACAATGTAAAGCTAAGAAAGTAACTTCTGTTTTGTCGGCGTATACACGAACAATGAGCATTCGCATGCTATGATGAACACTTGGTATTGATACTATCAGAAAAACAGTTTATGTTTTGTCGGGTTTAACAAAATGTATTCTGTTGAAATACATATTAACAATTGTAAATCGGGCAAACTCAATCCAAGAATGCAACATTGGAGCCTGCAACATTTTCATTTTGTTGTGTTGGCTTTCTTTAGGGATTCTTTATTTTCTCTATTTCATTGTCACATCCGTGTTGTTTGTGCCATGTGGTTGCTGTAAAATATCTCCCCGTACATTTTAATCAATGATGTTATATTTTCGATCCTTTGAAGATCGTTCAGCACGACATTATTGTTGGTATACATGTTATGTGGTACTTTAATTTTCTTCTATTTGACCTTTTTACAAACTTGGCCGTGGTTCCAGTTTTCCTACTTGAAATACTGTAAAAACCACTCTTAGGATATGTTGCCTGCCTTTTTTTAAATTTGTCTTTTGACGTAATATATGTGATATTGCAGGCTTCCATATAACCTCAGACCCCCTTTCAAAATTCCATTTTATTTAGTTCCGCCCATTGTTTCTCGTCTAGGGCACACGCATTTTTATTACTTGGGGGACCATACGCCGGCTTTTCATGGATGGCACTACTGTGTCACATTGAAGGTTCCATGATAATTGCCGTAAGAAACACATCTGCGGATTGTTACCAAATTCAAAATTTCACCATTTTTTGTGTTAAAATGTGAATTCTGCTAAAGCCGGTGCTAGGGGCGTGGACGGTAAACTTGCCCCTTTCCATTTACCCGCCCAATAAAACAGGCTCAATCAAACGAGCCTGCAAAGCATGTTTCATTTTTGTTGTGTTGGGCTTTATTAAGGATTCTGTATTTCTCTATTTGGAGTTTACATACAAAGAAATACCAATTGTATTTTGTTCCGTAAACAAAACTGTACAACTCAGATCAACAAGGCTTGATTTTTGGCAACGAATAGCCCCAATAATTAGCGAGCTTAATTATTTTCTATAATTATATTTCATTGAAATTGATTTCAAAAATATGTTTAAAGATATACTATGCTAAATATGATTTTTAAAAGTATATATAATTGCTACACAGTATCTTTGTATCCATAAAATAAACATGTATATATATAAAGTGTCATTAAAAAAACTGGCAGTTTTTTTAAAGAAAAGATCAATTTTACTTGACCTGTAATAGGGAATGCAGCTTTCCATACATAGTTTATTCATTATTTTATTCAAATTAAACATTTTCAGTAAAAATTTCATGGATTTTAATACATTTCTAAGATAAAAAATATTTTACCCAAAGATGACCAAAGTATATTTTTAATATTGTCTTTGTACATAAAATAAAAACATATATCGGAGGTGAAGTTATCATAACTAGAACTGCCAATGTCATGGCATAAATAACCCCGCTAACCACTTTTTCAGAATCAACAGAGGCCATTTAGAGCAAAGGACATTTTTTTACCCTCTTGCCAATCTAAGATTACTCAGCAAGCTCATTGCTAAGTTATGTATTTTACATGCTTCAAATGTGAAAATGTCAAAATCAAATACAGTGCGGACAGGCATTCTTAAGCCTTTGAGCAGACAAGCTTATTAAATTAAAACTCCATGTGACCTTGACATTTGGCACATTCACCTAAAATCAAAAAGGGCCATCTACTAGTCATAAACAACCTTAAAACTAAATATAGGGAATGTTGACCTAATCATTTTTTAAGCATTTGAGCGGACAAGCTTTTTTAGTCAAGGCCCTTTGATCTTGACCTTTGACCCAGTGGCTTCAAAATCAATAGGCGTCACCTATGGCTATGGCCATGATCAACCTCCATGTCAAGTATGAAGAGTCTGGGTCAAAGGTTTCTTAAGTTATTGGGCGGACACATTTTTTGATGTCAAGGTCCATGTAACCTAGACCTTTGACCAAGTGACCTCAAAATCAATAGGGGTCATCTATTAATCATGACTAACCTCAATACCACATATAAAGACTGTGTTGTGCGGGGGTATAATAAAATAAAATGTCTACAACTATGCAGCGAGGGGTAAAATCCCGGTTTAAATAATAAAACAAGTTAATGATTAAACAAATATTTGCTGGACAATTTAATTTTTTTTTTAATAAACATGAAACGTATGTCTCCTGTATCTATTGCATGTATGCAATCTGCTTAAGGTTATAAACTATTGATGTATAAAGTTTCTTGTTGAATGCATTTTAAAACAATATTTAACTAAATTGATTTAAAAAGGTATATTGGATCTACATTCTTTATCATTTTTGGCAAATAACTTAACTTAAAAGACATGTTTAATAGCTTATTGGCATACGACCATCGCCAAGTATGATTTGCGGTTCATATCTAACATTGTAAGTATTATATATATGAGTATAGTCATTAATTATATAAATAAATACAAATACATTTAACAAACAAAGATAAAAAAAAAAACAGTTGCAAAAAGTATGATGATTGATTTATCATATTTACTTAAAAGCAATTAATAACAGAAAAAACAGTGTTTTTTAATTAATATCATTGGCAAAAAGAAAATGAAAAAAACTTAACAGAAATCTAGACAATTTTTTTCCTCAAATGTTTTACGAATATGCTGTTTAGCTATTGTTTACGTAACGTTTTTCTCGATTAAAAAGTCATTTTTTTTTTGTTTGGCCAAGAATGAATGTTTATATATATTGAAATAGTAAGTACTCTTAAATCAGAATAAAATGGAAATACTAATAACACATGGTACACATTTTCAATAACTTTCATTTTACATTTCACACATCATCTGTTTTTTCTCTATCTATTCTTCTGAATCAGCCTTCTTCTATAACTATAGCTAATTTATGATCCTAATATCTCTACATTTACAAGTTGTACTACTAATTTATTTTTCATAACAAATATCAATGTATATTTCGTTATAAACTTCTAACTTTTCTAACAAATGGGCAGTTCAGAATACAAATTTGTCATATTTTTGTGCCCCCACTACAGGGGGGGGGGGCATTTAGATTTACCCTTGTCCGTCCGTCCGTCCTTCCGTCCGTCTGTCCGTACGTCCGTCCGTTCCCTTTTTTGTGTCGCACGTAGCTCAAAAAGTAATTGACCTAGACTCATGAAACCTTACAGGAATGTTGATCAGCATATGAAATTGTGCACCTGTGTATTTTCATGTGGATATATTTAATATTTTAGAGTTATTGCCATTTACTTAGTAAAAATTTGCAATTTTCAACTTGTGTCGCATGTAACTCAAAAAATTATTTGACCTAGAGTCATGAAACCTTACAAAACTGTTGCTCAGCATGTGTAGCTGTGCACCTAGTTATTTTAGTGTGGATATTTTAAGTGTTTTTAGAGTTATTGCCCTTGACTTACTAAAAATTTGCAATTTGTCAACTTGTGTCGCACGTAATTCAAAAAGTATTTTACCTAAATTCATGAAACCTTACAAGAATGTTGCTCAGCATGTACAGTTGTGCACTTGAGTATTTATGTGTGGATATTTTTAGTATTTTTATAGTTATTGCCCTTGACTTAGTAAAAATTTGCAATTTTCAAATTTGTCGCACGTAATTCAAAAAGTATTTGATTAGAGTCATTAAACCTTACAAGAATGTTGCTAAGCATGTTTAGTTGTGCACCTGGGTATTTTCGTGTGTATATTCTTAGTATTTTTAGAGTACTTGCCCTTGACATAGTTAGAATTTCCAATTTCCAACTTGTGTCACACGTAACTCAAAAAAATATTTGACCTAGAGTCATGAAACCTTACAGGAATGTTGCTCAGCATGTGTAGTTGTGCTCATGGGTTTTTTCGTGTGGATAGTTTTAGTATTTTTAGAGTTATTGCCCTTGACTTATTACAATATTTAACTTGTGTTGCACGTAACTCAAAAAGTTTATGACCTGTCGGCCTGAAAGTTTCCAAGAATGTTGCTCAGCTTGTGTACTTATGCACCTTGGGGTTCTCTTGTGGATTTATTTAGTATTTGTAGTATTTGTTCTTTACTTAATACAAGATTTTTAGTTTCAACTTGGGCAGATGTAGCCAAAAAAAAAAAAAAAAAATTGACCTAGAGACATAAGATTGACAAATCGGTGGAGTGTGGGGGCATCAGTGTCCTATGGACACATTTCTAGTTTTACCTTTAATACGTTGTCGTATAGTGCTTTTAACTTGTGATTTATTAATTAGGAAAAAAAAAACAAAAAAGCAAACGAACTGAAAACCAGTTAGTGTCCAGGAATTCTTGTCCTTTAAATACATAATTTTATACATAAGAGTACTTCGGGTTTTCCTTATTCTAGAACAAAGTTTTATTATTCTGATAATGACTGATTATGGAATTTACCCAATTTTCCATAACGAACCCCTAAATTTTGTTTGATAAAAGCGCTCTATATATCTCACACCGTATAATCAAATTGGCAGACATCCGTTCAACCGTCGACAGCCGTACTAGTATATTTGTCGGTGTAAAAAACAACAATTGACGTACTGTAACTATTAATTATTTTTAACATATCCCAATTTTGTTCAAATAAATCAATGATATGGATTCATAGTCAATATCCATAGGATCATGTTAACAAATTTCTGGCTCTGTACAGGCTTTATTTTACGCGAATTGTGACTGAAAATAACCACACTTTCTGATGAGAAGCGGCATTTGAAAAAAAAAAACAAACACACAAGCTTACATTTGTCATGATGATTAATCATTTTAAGATACGATTCGTAAACGTCAACATTTAGTCAATAATAAAATCACGTGTTGCCGGTTGTAAAATATGGTTCTGCACTGATTGCAAGCAGTTGAGAGCCAAATACAATTCTATTTGATACAATTCAATTGATTTTGATCTTGTTAGAAAAGAATAAAACAGAATATTTAATAAAATATGATAAACAAGATCAACAAGGAAAGGCGGCGTTCAATGAACGCAACCCCCATATGACCCAGCCACAAGAACTAAAGTTTGATATAGTTACTTTAATTATTTTACATAGTTCCTTTGATCATGATAAGTAATGGTATTTCAATACACAATACAATATGATTAAATGATGATAGACTATACAAATATTACAAACTGTTAGATAAATAGCAAAGGGTAAAACATTCAAGTATTACAAACTGTTAAATAACAATCAAAGGGTAAACATTCATTAATTTTAATTAACATTTATTATGCAAAGTGTCAACAATGTCACTTCTTTTATTGTCAGTCAAAGGTCTATACATATAAGTAATAAAAAGTGTAGGGTCATGTCCACTCTATTAAATTTAAGATATGGGGTTTTGTCCACTCTATAAAATTTTGAAGTGTGAGGTTTTGACGTGTGGGGTTTTGTCCGTCTTCCTTTTGTTAATGGTGAAAAGGGTTTAAAACAACTTTCCTTCATTGCAGTTATTTTGAAATTAGTTTTATAAAAGTTTGCTTCTAAATATAGAATTTTTCTCTGCTGTTAAAGATATGATTGGCAACATAGTGAAGTATGTAAAGAAAATACCTCTACGTGTCTACAATCTATCTACGGATGTCCAGTTTTTTTTATTAGATGTACTCAATGTTAATTATCTTAAACGTCTTCAGCATTGCAGATTCTCTTTATATTTCATTTATATATTCTGACTTTTTTGTATCCACTCATAGCAATTATTAGTAAATAACCGGTGTCCGTTGGTGGAACGAACAATGTCTCAGCAACGCGTTTTTAACAACCATTGTTCACTTTGACTATACACCGTGTTTCTGGTCTGTGTAGATAAAATATACATATACATGTTTTACTCTTAAGTGAAAAACATACTACGGATATGACAAAAATTACACTTAAGATTTTCTTAAGAAATTTTGTTTAAAGGATATTTATGGTAAGATTTCTCTTACAATGAAAATTGTCGTACGTTTTGTTGTAAAAATACTTTGTACTTTACATTCGATATTTCGGCAGCCGCAAAAAGTTGCCAAAATACTTTAGTTTTTTTATTTTCTTTGTTCCCTTTGAGAGCCCCTTTAAATCTTTGAGAACGTTTTTTTAAAACTAGGGAAAAAAAATATAAATTAGTTTTCCAGCTTTAAAATAATAATTTTTTTATATAAAATTTCCCTTTCATTAAAAATAAAAACCAAAAAAATGAAACAATTCTGAAAGTAGAAGGCAACATGAAAATGAACACAGATTGTTTTATTGAATTTATTTTTCAGGGTATCGGTAGAAGCATCAATTCGAGAGGGTTCAGAGACATTTCAAGCAGCTCCATCAGAACAGCTGTATAACTTTTATTTCTTCACTTTATTAGCAATTATCTCATCCATTAGTATGATTTTGTTCAGGATTATTACTACATCAATATGAAATAATTATATGTTTTCGATTATGTCATAGTTCAAATGAAATTTAATTTTAAAAAATGTAAATAAAGTTTTTTTATAAAAAAAATAACGAAAATGAACATGATAATAAAGTTAAAGATTAAAATCGACTCATTTTTCTATGTATGTTATTATGTATGGTAGAATAGGTACGTTTATGTAGGTTGTAATAAGGAAGCGTAGAGTAGAGCTGAGTAAGATACAGCAGGAAGGAATAATTCCAATAAAATGAATATTTGTGAGTACAAAACATTTCATTTCTTCACAAAAGGCTGATGGTGATAGTCATGTTGGTTCACAAGCAAGCATTTGTAATGTTGGTCCACAAGTCAATATCATCCATTATGCTGATGAAAATGTAATTGACGTTGACTGTAAAGATGAATCGTCGGACAGTACGATGTAAGTCATTCGTTTTACTATATCTGTACTATTTGTTTTTAACGAAGCTTGATGGACGTTAATTTAAAATTCTAGCAAATTTCTCCTTTAAATATGAATCAGACAGATTAAGTATAATAAAATAGTCTAGGCGGTTAAGTATCCTTTGTAATCAATAAACTAACCCATCTACATGATCTATACACCAAAACATTATATTAAGAAGAAAGAAAGTGAATGAGACAATAAATATACCTATACATTACATTGTCTGGGTTAGTTACCTTAACGTTTGTCTAAGGTAATAGATACTTAAACTATACACTTGTTAGTCAATTCCCACGTATTTAACGCACGAAAAACATTGATTCATGTTATTTGGAGGGCTTAAACTTTTGAAAAGGGGTGTTATTTTCTTAATTAGAGTTGCCTGTACTTTAAAGATGGAATGCAAGTTAGATAAATATCGTTTTGCTATGAGGTAATATCCGGGAAAGGATACTACATTTTGTATTTCCTTGAGCAAGGAACTTTACACTCATTGCGTAGTACTGGTTGGTTCTAGGGTAAGATTTGAATGTGTTTATAAGTTTATAGCCTTCAAAACATTCGAATGGAAACAATATCTGTAGAAACTAAACAAGTCCAAAATTGACATAAACTTATTAATGTGAAGCATATTCTTCTATTTAACACCTTTTATAACCAGAAACTGCTTTAATTTTATCATTTCATAATCCTGTGTACAGAAGCAAAATGACATATTGACGTAATTACCCTTTCATTTTATACTAACAGTTGTTTCAAAGTGCCGCAAATTTAAACAATCAAAATACATGTAGCATTAATCTATTAATAAAGCAGATCAAAAAGTGATTGTAATAAGTGTTTAATTAAATTCCTTTAAAGGACTGTTCAGATATCTAACGAACGGCTTACAGACGCTGATTTAGCCACACCACATACAAATATTAAGCTCCAATCAAATTCTGAAGACACAAAGGGATACAGTGAATGCAAAACAGAAGGTATATCGTGAGTTCCCCAAAAAGCTATATGCATTCTTTTAATGCTAGTGTATTTTTTCTCAACTCCCAATTTCGTGCTTTAGTAATAGCTTTTTAAGTTTCGAAATTTCTATCATCTTACATCTCATTTTATGACGTTGTATGTGATTTTATAAAAAAATGATTTATTTATAGCATTTACATCAGTAAAATTGTAATAAAATGTGCGCAAATGTTTAACGTGTGCACTCAATGATAATGTAGATTTCTAACCACCCTTAGGTTAGAATCTGCAAAATTTTCTGTCATTTAATGCATTTTTTATTGTGTTGCTTATATATAAAACTTGTTATTATTAATACTTTTATAGTTTCATTATTAAGTATGTAAATCACAACATGAAACTGTTTAGATGCAGAAACCAAACTTTGTGAAAAAAACGAAGACGACTCAACACCTACATTAACTAAAGAATTCAATAATTACATTTTAAATAAAGAAGAACAAAAGATGGATGCAGATCAAAGCAGCAATAACTATCAGCATGATCTATGTTTAACAAATTACAATAACACGAATACTCACACATGGAAAATAGGCAAGTATATTCTTGTGTGTTTTTTTTTGTTTTAGTTTTTTTATGTGAACAATCAATATTTGAATAGCTTTTATTTTTTTTCCCTTCTTAAATACATTTTATTAATTAAATCTTATTAATGCACATGGTTTAAGAGTTAAATATTCATATATCTGATATGGTTTATCTCAGATGTCCTTAAAAACAAATACATTTGAAGTAGAGGATATAGTTAAAGCGTTCTTAACAACATTTCACGTATTACTACATTAAAATATGATCAGATAATTTATATTAGAAAGAAATTCATCATAATTGAATTTAAATGTAATCCTAATACTGTCTAGCATGATAAAAGTTATTCACGGTCGTGCATTATTTATGGATAACAAATCAATTGTATAGTTCTTTCTATTACAAAAAATAAAAAGCAAAATTACGGAAATCAATAAAAGACAAATACAAAACAAAATAATACATTGTTAAACATGACTTCTGCATAAGTTCCGTCAGGCAAACACATTACTTGTTGATAACTTAATACAAATAAATATACATGGTCATAATATCAGAGACAAGAGCAAGGCATGTTTGATCTTCCGCAATCTTCTTTGCATGTATCAGAAAACATTTGCATCTTGCATGGAACTCTTACCCGGGGCGGCTGTTGACGAGAGGTTAAGTCGTTGACTTCAAACAACTTGCTTGCCCCTCATCGCTGTGGGTTCGAATCCCGACAGAAACATTGAATGAATTATTTCATGTGAGGAAGCTATGCAGCTAGTTACGATACGTCCGTGGTTCTACACAGATGCCCGTTCGTGCTCGTGCCTGAAATGATGCATGGAAGGGCACCTGAGGTCTTTCTCCACCAGTTAAGCTGGAACGTCGCCATATGACCGTTTCTTTGTCGGTGTGACGTAAAACCCGATCATACAAACAAACAATAACCCGGGACCCTGGACTACCGTTCTTCGAATTATCTTTTATGAGTTAACAGTATTATAACGTGACATATTGTCCCGCTATACTGAATTTCGTCTAATGTAGAAAATGATATAAATGGTTTCGAATGATATTACAGTAACGCTCCCCCCAGTTTGTTGTCAAGTATCTGATAGTAAAACAAATGTCGAGCCTACCATTCCGCTATACAGTCTCAGTTATTCGATCGATTTCACATTTCCTCCACTCAATAGTGAAACTTTCTATACCGTGACATATTCTCCGCTGCATTTAAATTTGTCTTTAAACTATTCTATATCGTGCATAAGCCATGTCGTGTAAGATATATTTTATATTCATTTTCTTGTTGTTAATTAACATATCTCATGAAAATCAAATTAACAGTTATTTGACTTGATAATTGGAATAAATATGAAATATAATTAAAATGAATGCTCATATTATTACACGAAATCTTACATACCAATTGTTGTTTTTATTTTTCTAGATCCGTGTGCATGGGAGAGATGTCTTGGGGAACAATTCAATGAAGCTACAGCCATGAGTATGTTAAAAGATAAACTGCTGCCTAACGAAAAAATACTTCTCGAAATCTACAATACAGTCACAGCTTCATCAAATATTCTTCGAGCGATCTTGCGCAATATATGCGACTATGTAAAACAACAATCATCCTCGATTTTACATGTGTGGCCGGCGCATAGATCGAGTCAGGACAAACAAAAAAACTTGGTATTTGTTATACACACAAGTAAGAAAATCGAAATCGAATGTGAATTCAAGACATACCAGCGATGTGAGGATGAATTATCAGATACACATATTTTAGAAAATGAAAATATATACAAATTCCAACAAACATACGCATGCAAATTACTAGAAATGGAAAATGTCAAGGCATTTGTAAAAGAAAATGCTAAGGCCTTACAACAAGTTGGGTAAAATCTTCAGGGTTCCAAACGGAGACATCTCTCATGGAAAACATTCCTTGTGTAGCATTATATGTTCAAATTAAGGGTTTGATTCCATTTCAAGAAAAATCATTCGACAAAACTGTCGTTGGATACCCTTTCGATGTAAGAGAAGGCGTGTTCTGTCTTTGTGGTAAACCTGGTGACTTACATCAAAAGGTTAAAATGGGATGCGAAATTGACAGCGGATATGGTACCAAACAAGGAACGATAGGGCCTTTTGTCCAGTTACAAAATCACACGGAAACGTACTTCCTAACAAGTGTGCATGTTGCTCTTGACAATAGGCAAATGGAGGCGTTAACGAAAAGTCGTCACGATTACATATACTACGGTTTCGCTGGTAACAATACTTTCCAACCACCTGAATCAAACACAGTAGGCGATACCAGCATTAGACATCACCTTGGCAAAATTAAACTGGCCGTCTATAAAGAAGGTAACAAAGACGAAGGTGGAATGGAGTTGGCATTGGTACAAACCAATAGAGATCGAGAGCCCGATGATGGCTATTTTCCAGATGATATCTTCCGTCCGCTTACAGGTATAGAACCTTGTGTTCATGTTTGTAAAGATCACCCAAATATATATGTATTGTGTTGTTTTGACACATAATACCGTTTCCATTCCAAAGTTAAAAGTTAAAATATAATAATGGATACGTCTTTTAATGAAGAGTAATATCGTTTTAGATTATTATCTATCTTTCAAAAAGTTATGTATGCAAATTTCTTTTTACTTATAATTTATGAAACTGTATCAAATATTTATGCCTTATAGGAAAGGAACTGATAAAGAAACACTTTTTGCTATTTGTAATCTCCATTTAATTTTTTATTCTTGGTATTTTTTATGCGTAAATTGATTGCTATTATATTAAAGAATATTAATAATAAACAGAAATTCTTCAGGTTACCGTTTCCATTTTTCATCTGGGAGAATTCTCGAAAAGACACAGCTAGAGAATGCAATGTTCTTTTTGTACAAATTTGGTTGTTCTAGCGGTTTAACTGAAGGACGATATGTTGATCACTGTACATCAGTTAGAACAAATAAACTTGAAGAAAGAGGAAAAGGTGTAGATATTACTTTGTTTAACCAAACTCAAATCGAAAATAGTCTTAACTCAAAACCGTTTGCAACGCAAGGGGATTCTGGCTCTCTTGTTTTTGCTTTTCATGGTAGAGATACACGAGCAGTGAGCATATTTGAAGGTAAAATGGATCATTATTATATGGCTACCCCCATCGAAGATGCTGTTAGTGTTATCAGTAAATGCTTATCACAATTTAAAGGTCAACAAAGGTCATCCGGAGAAGAAATGGAAGTTGAAATGAATCATAACACCTGATTTATTTATCAACCGTCTGCGACAATTAACCACCAATAAAATGTCAATTGTTTGCCAATTTTTATACCATTTTGTCTAGATCGCAGTCGAGTGCAATCGGCAATTGTGTTGGACTTCAGTTTCACTTTTAGGAAGATATAAAATTATGCTAATAAGAGTCTTTTTATGGTTTATTTAAATCATTTATGGTGTATGCTACTAAACAAAACACTTAAACGAAGCATCAGTATTTGACTAAAATTACTTTCTCAGTTTTTGGTATGAATAACCGCAAGTATCTAATGTAAATCATCGTCAGTTTCATCACGGACTTTAAATCACGTGGTTGCATACATTTCTAATCATTGTTTCATATGTTTAAAATAAGAGAAAAAATCTGTCCTATCATCCTCTCTTATCAACTACTTGTGAAAAGAAAACGCCAAAAACGACTGTAACAGAGTAAAACGAGCACAATTACAGACGTAATATAATTTCCGTGTCGTAATACTTTTTCTTTAACTTGCGCATTCGTTGGTGATGCATTTTATTCGGCGCTGATTAATGTATTTAGTGCATAGCTCTAGTGATACACCATTCGTTTGCTGTCATTTTGCATTTGCGTATAATCTTGCGTGTAAGCTTCGTTTATAGCAAAAAAAAAAACAAAAAACAACAAACGTCTCCGATGAAATATTGTTTACCTATTTAAGCCATAGAAATTTGAAAAAAAAACTAGTTCTGAAGGAAATGCTAGTTTATGAAGTTTGAAAAAACGATGAAAGAGATCATGAATATATATTTGCAGCATGGTAAATTGTAATCGAAATTACGTAACTTCACACTCATTTTCTATCGTTTCAATACAAATACAAAAATGTATACGCTTAACTTTACTATTATACTTCAAAAACAAATATATAACAGTAAATATTCATATACAAAAGGAAATTCTGAAACTGTTTCTTAGAATCACATAAAGAATTGTTGAACATTGTTAATTACGTAGCTGATGAAATTTAAGGAACATTTGTAGCTTATCTTGCTTAAACATCTGACATATTGACATCTCACAGGCATTATTATTTTTACTATTGAAATGATACGTTAATTCAATACATGTTGAAATCTTTGTTTGTTACGGATTTCAGCTGCTCTAAACCCTTGTCAAGTCTGACCGTAGTATATGAACCCTTTTTACTCATATTCTCTCCCATAACGATTGCAATCAAATGGACTTCTTCTCCATATTTGTCCGGATTCTCAGCACACACTATGGCTCCACTGTCGCCTTTCTGACAGAAAGCATTGCCTTCCTCTCTATCTTCTACAATAATGTAGTTTTCATCCAAATTGTCGTTTTGAACTGCGATTTGCTCCGGAACAGAAATTGTTCCAAGGCCTAGTTCGGTTTTAGCTCCTTTAATGTGAACTGGTAAACACATAAGCTTCTTAGCATCATAAGAGAAAAGTTTTCCTTGGACAGATTCATTCTTTTCATTAACGTATGTTTTATCGAATGATATGTTATCATCCAGTGATGCAGCAGCGACATCCAGGTATTCTTTATTTGTCTCATCGTCCTTAACTTCTTTCATAATCTCGCCGATATACACATTTTCTTGCTTTGCTATGTACAGTTTTCTGTCAAAACTGCATTTAGCAAAATGTCTAGATAAGATGGCCCAATCACGCTTTGATTCTCCTGAAGATGTATAAGCAAATCCGCCGAGTGTACCAGTATAAAATTCATTTTTGACATATTCGACTCTTACACCTTGACCTACAGTACACGTTGAAAACTCCTTTATAACAGAGGGTACTACAGAGTATTTTGTTATATTATGTTTTTCCATTACATGTCCGATACTTTGTTTTAGATCATCGGATATCGTTTTGACATTGACATTTACTTGAAGAGTACTGTAACGATATCCACAACTTGTTATCGAGTTACTCAGCTCCTGTAACTCTTGCAATATCTGTAAGACAAAAGCAAATCGTTGTAACATGAATTAACCAACCTATTTTACTGAAGCAAAATATTTATACTCGTAGTGTTTTAATAAACATCTATTCACAAGTTAAATTGCATTTTATTGAACGGTATGGTAACGTTACTTTAGAATATTGAAAAAGGAGTTTTACTTAATACTTTGTTACTAACTGAAAAGTGAACTACAAACCGTTTTATCAATCTTGTACAAGCATTCAGAATGACTCGGTTTTTCATTTTCTGGAAGAATGCTTCTGTTAAATAATCCAACAAATTCGTAATAAAGGCGTTCAATCAACTCTGAGTCTGTATCTGATAGTTCGACTGGAGTTCCGCTTTTTGGACTTTTGATCTTTCCTAAAAAAAATACCGAACACGAAAATCGTTAAACCATTTATGATTTTTATGATATATTTTACGCATAACACGAACAAATATACAAGTTGACTTTTAAAAGCTTGCTAGACATGACACAGTGATCGGGAGTAACATGTTAACCATTTAAGTTGAATTGTTAAGGTTTGTTATGATGGCTGATTTGGTAAATTGCACGAGAGCGACAACGCAACCCATATCGTTATCGCCTTTTCGCTAGCGACAAACGGCGCGTTGTCGCACTGTCGTCTTGTCGTCCTGTCTCTAGAAATGCACGCCAAACGGCGCGTTGTCGTGCGGTGCGTTGTCGCGATGTCGCCCTGTCGCTTAGCTTATAAGCCAATCCTTCGATTTGAACCGAGCGACAATATGACATCGCGACAACACGCCGCAAGACAACGCACCGTTTTGCGTACATCGTTAACGACAGAACGACAAGACGAAAGTCCGACAACGCGCCGTTTGGCGCTTTGTCCTGTTGTCGCTAGCGCCAACACGACGCACAAAAGCGTTCCAAATCAGCCACCATAGTTTGAAGTAAATAATGTGATTTCGTTCCGACATAAAGCAAAGCCTCCAAAGTAAGTAAAGAATCCATTGCTGTTTGGCTTATCTGCCATTGACAGCAAGTATGTATAATTTTGCAAGAAGCCATGTTTAAATAAATGACCTTTAAAACTAACAAGTCGTTACGTAAATTGAAATTAAAGATATATCCTCAGCGGGGCGTTCAAATTGACTTACAACAAGAACATGGAACCAACAAGTTAACGACAAGCATTTAAACAAGATGTTAGTTTTATACGGTGTCCTATTTCTTCCATAAAATTTCGTTAGTAAACACGCGATAACTATCGCCTATAAAGGGCAAAATTTAATACTTAATTTCGCAGGTCCTAACTTTCGCTAGTCTCTCAAGCGAAAATGATTGCCCTTTCCATAAACCAGGGACACTTATACAAGCGATATTCAACAATTTCAACTCGATAATTATCATCTTATTTTTCGTATGTTGTGTATTTCTTCACGTGATAATCATCACGTTGAATGGCGCTAATTATCACATAAAAAACTAGCGAAATTGAATACATGCGCAATTTAGTCTCAATTTCGCCCTGTAGAGGCGGTAATTATCGCATGTTTAAATTTTGCTAGTCTCTCATGCGCGCCCTTTAACGCGATATTTATCGCGTGAGGAACACACAACATACGAAACTTAGGCGATAATTTCGCTAGTATAAGTTTCCCTGTTCTCAAGAAAAGGCGCTCGAGAGATTAGCGCAATTTAAGACATGCGAAATTTAGTAATAAAATTCGCCCTAATGACGCGATAATTATCGCGTTACTAGCGAAATTTTGTGGACGAAATAGGACACCGTAGTTTTTCAAGTATCTTGATATAAAATCAAACTTAGAATAATAAAAATCTAATTCAGAATTTTAGTTTGTACCTTGTTTCCCTTTTACACATGGTATTTGTTCAGTCGTTACCGACAGGTGTTGGTAAGCCTGTCTCGGTGAATCTTTGACTGAAATATTGTTAACATAACGTGAATGAAGAAATGTCCTTTGTACAAAGATGTTAGTATACTTGAACATAAATTACTATCAATGTACAACAGTGCTGTTTTAAGACGTATGTTTATGATAATTTATAATTATTTAGAATAATTTTGTACAACACAGTCAAGAATGAAACATTTTACCACCCGATCCTGCTGATTTTGACCGTTGTTCTGTTGACTCGACGTGTTCAGATTTCACAGATGACTCTCCTTAAAATGTATATAAATATGTGTTATTTTATCTCTGTGTATAACATTTATAACTTATTCAATTGCACTTCCTATTGAAGAGTAATTAATACATAGTTTCTGTATTAAAGACTTACATTGTCGACATTATTTGTTTTACCAATGACAAATTAATTTCATTCTTTTTCTTCTATAAATCGCCTTTTCATTTGATTATCAGTTAAATCTTTAGACCGTTCATTTTAACAATATCTTCTGTTTTATTTTGAAAACGAAATCTCGACGGCTGAAGATATCTTTTGCTTCGAAAGGTTATGAAAAATTAAATGATTTCAAAACATGAAACAAATAGGCTTCTGGATCATTGAATCAATATCATGCAGAACTAATCAAATATCATTGAGAAAAAAAAAAGAATCAGACAAAACTTATACAATAGCTGCACTTAATTTAACTATGTAGCTTATATCTTTAGTAGTATTTCCAGTAAGGATGACATAAAGTTTGTCACATGCAACTCTCATTCCTGCAAGAGCATTTCTCTCTAAATGAGTCGATAAAGCAGCGCCAACTTCTTCCACAAGACAAACCACAGTATGATTTTGGCTTCTTAACATGTTTGACAGAACGACCGTTGACTTGTTATCCTTTCCTATCAGAATAGTACGCTCGGGAAACTTTTTTAATTTTGTCAATATATCTTTGAAGAAAATGCAGTATGCATTTTTGTACAATTTAGATTCTCTTTCCAAGGATTCGAGTTTATATCTGTTTTCATTAACGGTGTTCCGATTTCTCGGAATAATTGATTTAATATCTATGAATTGGTCGGTGGATTCTTCTGATTTGCACATAAATATGCGAATATTGTCATCATTAACATCTTCTATCAGTGGTTTACAATCATCTATTATTTTGTTCTTATTTAGACAGTTATACCGCTTGGCCAAATCTTTTCTTATCTTCAACGTGTACTGATATCGTGGAAAACATGCTACTGGTACACTAGCTTCTATCACATCCATCGTTTGAAACTGTTATTTGGCAACAAATGATTCCTATCAAAACAAATAATATTATGACTGGGAAAATAATCAAATAATAATACTATATTACAAACTGTAACGCTGTCGGAGATGTCCCTTATATAAACAAAGAAGGCCGGAAGCGTGATATATTTAAAAACAGATACATTCGCCGTTCTTATCCCCCCGTACTCATTTATTTTTAACGTCTGAGAAATAAAAAAACAAATTATGTTGCATTTTGCTCTAAAATGACAATAGTCTCACTAAGAAAATAAATCCGGACACCAATATCTTTAATTCAGTGATTAACGATTTGCATACCCCTGAAGTGTTGTTAACTAGACGTCGCACTGTAGTGACAAACAGAGCGTGCAAAAACCGTTTCATTTCTATTTCACTATAAATACTCTGTAATTTATTGAAATTAAATAGAAAGATAAATAAATAAATTTTTATAAATAAATAAGTAAATAAGCACAAAACGATTTATCAACATTTTCAAAATGTCTTTTTAAACGATTTTTTTTTAAACCAACTGGAACTTAAAGAACGTTGCTTTCAGAAATTCTAAGGCGAAAACAAATTTCACCGCCAAAAATGTAGTTCAACTATATCTATTTCTTAACGTGTTAAATCTTGGTGTTATACATGCACATATAGCACAGTATGTCGTTCAGATGTTTGTAGCTTATCACTCAGACCTACTGTGCATCCTAACTACATACTGTGCTATTTTATTACACAGATCACTCAAAATAAAGATCAATTTTCTAAGTTAAACATTTTAAATAATTTAAATCAGTTTAATAAAGTAAATTAGCAAATCACGAAGCTGCAAACTTCAAATTAAGCTTGAAGTTACGTTTTTGTGAAAACAATTTTTTTAACAATTGGATACCATCATATGCATTGCTTAACTAGATAACTCGTTTATTATTGTTTGTTACGCTACAAAGTAAACTAAATTTAAACAAACAGTAATTGATTACGTTCTAGCTTAACAGTTTTAGTATTTATCGTACACCAAGAACATCATGCTTTTACTAAGAATTTTTTTCCAGAACGTTTTTCACTTAAAACAAGAACTGCATTGATATCGTAGTAACAAAAAAACTAAAATTAATTCACCTAAACCAAGGATTGAAGCAGAGGCCCCTGGATTACTCAGAACTGCTAAGATATTTATTATCAAAAAAAGTAAAGAAAGAAAGAAACAACATATTGATGATTATATAATATACAAAGTGTAAAAACCTTAATTGCGTATATATCCGTTCATGTAAGACAAAACCTGCGACATCTACATTCATACTATGCGTTTGAATAGCTGTAAAAAATGATAAAAAGAGAAAACAACAACAAACAACTATATAGGTTAATTCAATAGAAACGACTGAATAAAAAGTAACAAGCTTCTATTGGATTTCTCCACAGCTGATTTTTTCTAAACAACGGGAATTCTTGAGGACGGCTAATAGTTTTGCAAACAATTTTCAGTCAAAATTAATTTCTAAGGGCTTCTGGTTCTAAGGGCTTCTGGTTCAAGATTAAAGCAATAACGCAAGATGACTATGTGGTACCGCTGCTAGACTTGATCGGTTGTTTGCGATAATCTCGTTACGTTACCAAACCGAGTCGTGAATATATTCAATATTCCCGTTGGGGTAATTCATTTAAGTTTCTTTTTATTTATTTTATAAAAAAGGCTAAACTATTGAATTTAAATGTCTCGAAGAAGGCGAAGCCTCAGGGCGAACATTTAAAAACAGAAATAACACGAAACAGAGTTTAGTCTTTTTGCTCCTTAGCCCAGACAAAGCATACATGAGACGTCACTTAAATGTGCTTTTACTAAACTGTATTTACTAGTTAACGGCATGTGATCGACTACGTGTTTTAAAAACGATAACGCTCCATCGAGAACGTCTGCAATCTCCAAACAGTTGCCCCATAAGAACTTAAAGTTCTGCAAGTGTTGGCAAAATGAGATCGAAACTGTATTGCCTTATGTCAGATCAATGTGACGATGTGTAAAGCTATTATTCTAACACACTTTACACTTTCGCCCTATAAATCTGATAGGGCAATAAAGTGCATTATTACACGATATGACTTATTTTATTCTTTATTATAGTCTCATCCATACAATTAAATATACATATAAAACATTTAAAACATTGACATTGTATATAGCCATTCTCGGAAGAATTACAAGGGACTTGTTATAGCTAATACTAAGAGGGATAACTCTAAAGTCTATATTTTATAGAAATGTATAATATGTACACTGTACATTTACCTCCCTTATATACGTATTCACATTCTCAACATTTACATCATATAAATCAGTCGCAATAGGGTGACACAATTGCACGTTGTCATTATTTAAAACGTTATTTGAAACATTTAATTGAAAAATTATAATACATATGTATGGCATAAAAACAAATGCATACACGTTTTTGTAGAGTACGTGGTGTTTTGTAGAATTCCAAGTAGTATTGTTTTTTAATATGTGTTACTTTATGTAGCTGTTTAAAACAGACACTACGCAATGTCGCGTGTTTTATTGTATACATGTATATTTCATACTGTTAACATCTGTTTGATATGTAGTTATTTTCATTTCTTCAAATTATTTTACTGATATACTGACTGTAGTAGTCTTCTACTTTACTATCTTAGAAAATCTTATTTAACCAAATTTGATTCAATAAACCAAGATGAATGACATTTACAAATGTTAACATAATGTATTACAATCAAATCATATTATACTGAGTAACTAATTCATAAACTGTGAAACTTCTGTCCGCTTCTGAGTTTATATAAACAAAACGTCCACTTCTTTCAATATTTTGTTAAACGTTTATCAAATAAGTTATGACTGTCTATTTACCTTTTTTTTAGTAAAATAATCGTCCTCTTGATCGCATTGATAAAATCACACAAAGGAATTAGTTTGTTTATATTTAAAAAGATTTGGAAAATTGGTTTGCACCGAGCAGATTTTAATGGCCCTCAGTATTTGAAAAGGTAAATAAAGATTTATTATGGATTTACGAAGCAATTGATATATCGCATGGATGATTCAGTTATACATACCCTTGTGCGTTTTAAAAAGCTGTTAAAATGTATTTATTTTTTTACGCAACACATCAATAATGAAATATATTCTTAACAATTACTTGTATTTAAATACTATATTACATGTATTTAAATACTATATTAATTGTAATAAATTCCAGTGCGTTTCAACGGTGTATAATTGTACTACATTGTTTGTTTGTTTGTTTCATTTTACGCCTTTTTTCCAACAGTATTTCAGTCATATAGGCGGGTAGTTTCCTAACCATCGTTCCTGGAGAGTTACAATTCATACGGTTGTTCGGAAGGTTGTTTGTCAAAACTTTAAATTTTCGCGTCTTTAGACTGGTACTGCTTAGACGGGTTCGTCGGATCACTTTTTTGTGTTCCTCATTAACTTTACTTATTACCTTTGTCAAATCGAATTACGTCATTTGACGTATGTAACATAATTGTCTGTGTTTTTACGTCAATACCACGTAAACCGTCACTGTGACAGTTATTTGAATCACACAAGGGACAGCATGTTTATGGAAATCTGTGATTTTACATCAAGTTCTGTGTAAACCGCCGAAAGTGCAAAGACAGACGCTTGATCTCCTTCAGCAAGTAACAATCGGTCAGCAGACCTTTCGTTTTCCTCTATCATAAGGGATTGTGTGAATGTAGAAGTGATGTCCAATACAAACAAAGAGCCGATCGGTAAAATTAAGAATACCATACATACTGACCGTCGAATAACTTTGTACGACAGTCCCTGTGTTCGGCGACAGCAATAAGATTCTTAAATACTTAAAGAAACCTTAATCTTGACTACTAACCACGAGATGAAACAAATGAGGGATTCAAAACGATGTTTACGATTTTCTGAGAGAATGTGGCGCATTTCTAAATAGAAATATTTTAACAGATTTGACGGATAATTAAGGTCCTACCGCTTTAGTTAACGCAGAATGCAGGTACAGTTGTCTGTGTGAAAACGCTCGTCATCACCACCGTCGACGAAGGCACATGGTTAGAAATCGGTTGATACGCATATGTTTTATGGTCCGCAAGGGCGTGCTGCTAAGCTATGCCGTTCCGTCTTTAACAATTGTTAATTAATAAGTATAATATGGCAGCCAAGATCAACAAGGAAAGGCGGCGTTCAATGAACGCAACCCCCACACGACCTAGCAACAAGTACCAGTTGCCAGGAGCCCAGGAGTACCCCAAACAATTGAATGCATATTATAATATTTAAAGTTTTTATAGTTGTATAGACATTGTTAAACCTTCTAAATTAACCAGTTACCTATATATATGTGTTGTTAGTTAGCTTAATATGTAGATAACCAAATTGCTGCAAATTTAGCTCATTCGACGTGATCGTCATCAAACAATACAAAAAACAGCCAAAAATTAAAAAAAAAAAAAAACATAAAAAATCTCGGCATAGAGGAAAACTCAGAAATGTGTGCAATATGTTCAACTGGAACATCCCTCTTTACTCGCCAATTCGCCACCACTTGCATGTTATAGATATATTACAGATATAACGCACAGCATCCTATTTCTTATAGACAGTATGTGGTATGAGAATATTTTTTAATGAATGGATGTATGGGCATTCCAACATATATGCGCGTTAAGGGGCGACACTTTGAAAAGGAATAATACACGACGCAGGAAGCGTTACTTGGTATTTTAAATACAATACAATGATGTGGACGTCATTGTGCGTTCTTGTGAGAAATAAATTCATATTTCTTATTCCTTGTTGTACGTATTAACGTTGAATGTAATGAAAATTTGCGAAAGTTAAGATGATATTTAATTAACAATATTGTCAAAAATTTAAAACGCACGTACTTAAATTAGAGAAGTTTTCATAGTGTTTGCTTAATCCTTATATATCCATATAATGAGCATTTGGCGAATAAATAATATTATAAACGTCTTTAGTTTATTGCCGTCACATCTGATGTCATATGACATGTTAACAATAATGCGCGAGAGTTCATTATCTAATTATTGAGGTAAAGGTGATAGCGTGTTAGAATGTTAGAATATTTGTAAAATTTCTAGGAATCGTATAGAAAATATATGTAAAAATCATAAAAGTAAGATATGACAAGTTAAACCGGTTCTAATGTATAATTAGACAAGAAAGGACTACTTATGAAACAATATCAAAGTAATATCAGAAGCAATAAAAGTACAGAACGATATAGTAATGACGACATGAACTTTGTTTTATATTTTTTGCTCATTAATTTGAAGACCTTAACTGTTATCACTTATAGAGTTATCAATGAATGATAAACGAACAATATCTTTAATATTGAAAAAACAAACAGCAACAAAAAACATAAAAAACATAAAAAACAAAGACAAAAACCCAAAGTGAAATAATGATCGTTTTTGATATAAATAACTTACTGATTTATTTTTTCTGATATCATCCGTCAACTACTTTTTTGTCGCAGTTTAAACCCTAATCTTGAAAATCATTTAAAACTTCAAATAAATATTTTAAATTAATATAAATCTGATATGTCTTACATGTATCTGATTGAAATTTTTATTGAACTAAATAAAGAACAAAATACTTATGTCAATACACGTCAATATCGACATTAGGTTAACATTTTCGTATCTTAAACCACATCGATACCACACTTGAATCTGATAAAATAAATTCCATTTGTTTGAAGTCTTGGCAATTTGGTACACTTAAAGATCCTGTGACACAATTTTGTATAGATTTAAATCACAAAATATAATGCTCGAATGAAGATTTATCAATATTGTACGTTCCAAAAAGCATAGTTTGTAAAGATATTATAGAATTTACATTTCATGTTAATAAAGGGAGGTAATTAGAAATTTATTTTCGATAAAGTCTAGGTCAAATTTTTCAATAAATAATGAATGCACATATTTAAATGATTACATATAATGTGTAGAAATATTTGCAGTATATATTTTACATATTCTTGTATGTTTGAAAATTGTTTGAGAAGCATAATTATATACATATATAAATTTTCACTTAACTTAAGTGTAGTAACAGGATCTTAGCACAAAATGACAAAATAAACGAAAAATAAAATCTTAAAGAATATTCTGAAAGAATAAAAAAAACCTTGTCATGGCAATATTTTGTAATATAAGTAAACTCATTCCCCAAAATATCAAACGAATGAAAGAAACAAGTTTGCCATTTGCCATCAGCCATTCACTACTTGCAAGCATTGTTTCGTCTAACTACTGGTCAGAATATACAATAGCAGTCAATGATGCTGTTTTCAGTTTAACAGTTTGACTTCAAAATTCAAAATTAACGTATTATCTACTAGTCATGTCCGTGATTGGACCGCAGTGTGATCACATCTCCCGCTGTTTTTCTTCTTTTTATTCAAATTTTGTTTGACAGCTTATCTGTGATATGCAGCTTTAAATGTTGAATACTGCTAAAAGTATAGCTACGCCTGTCCTAGAGTCTAAAAGGGCAGTAAAATACCAAAATAACGCCTATCCTAGCGTGAATTTATACGACAATTCAAAATAATTTCTGTTGCTATGTACGCTTGCCATTTTAAAATAGATTAATACAGAAAACGTGTCCGAGTATGTAATATAAAGTTATAAAGATAATAGAAATGTCAGTTCCTTATTAATATTTTGTTTATTTTATTTTCATTCAGGGGACGGGGTATAAACATTTATTAAACAAGAGGGCCATGATGGCCCTGGATCGCTCACCTGACATAACCGCATCCAAGCAATGTCTTAAACAAGCATCATGGCCAAGTTTGATGACAACTGAGTCAAGCATGTGACCTCTAGTGTGTTATAAAGATTTTTCCATATTTGGGCAATGTGACCTAATTTTTGACCGGACACGACCCATATTAAAACTTGACCTAGAAATCATCGAAACAACCTTCCTGACCAATTTCCAAGAAATTTGGATTAAAACTGCAGCCACTAGAGTGTTAAAAAGATTTTTCTATTTTTAGCTCCTGTGACCTAGTTTTTGACCTAAGATGACCCATCTTCGAACTTGACCCAGAAATCATCAAAACAACCTTCCTGACAAATTAACAGAATATTTGACTCAATACTGCAGCCACTAGAGTGTTAACAAGTTTTTTCTATTTTTAGCTCCTGTGACCTAGTTTTTGACCTGAGATGACCCATCTTCGAACTTGACCTAGAAATCACCAAAACAACCTTCCTGACAAATTTCCAGAATGTTTGGATGAAAACTGCAGCCACTAGAGTGTTAACAAGCTTTTTCTATTTTTAGCTCCTGTGACCTAGTTTTTAACCGGAGATGACCCATCTTCGAACTTGACCTAGAAATCATCAAAACAACTTTCTTGACAAATTTCCAGGAATTTTGGATCAAAACTGCAGCCAGTAGACTGTTTACAAGATTATTCAATTTTTAGCTCCTGTGACCTAGTTTTTTACCTGAGATGACCCATATTCGAACTTGACCTAGAAATCATCAAAACAACCTTCCTGACTGATTTCCATGGAATTTGGATCAAAACTGCAGGCAAAAGAGTGTTAATAAGCTTTTTCTATTTTTAGCTCCTGTGACCTAGTTTTTTACTCGACATGACCCATCTTCAAACTCGATCTGTATTTCATTAAGACAAACATTCTGGTCCAATCAAAACTTTGACTGCTAGACTGTTATCAACCCAATTGTTAGAGTGTTAACAAGCTTTTTCTATTTTTAGCTCCTGTGACCTAGTTTTTGACGGGAGATAAGCCATCTTCGAACTTGACCTAGATATCATCAAAACAACCTTCCTGACAAATTTCCAGAATATTTGGATGAAAACTGCAGCCTCTAGAGTGTTAACAAGTTTTTTTCTATTTTTAGCTCCTGTGACCTAGTTTTTGACCCGAGATAACCCATCTTCGAACTCGATCTGTATTTTATTGAGACAAATATTCTGACAAAGTTTGATGATGATCCAATCAAAACTGTGACTGCTAGACTGTTAACAACCCAATTGTTGACGACGAACGACGCACGACGCACGACGACGCACGCCGGACATAGCCCCATCACTATACCTCACCATGACCACTTCGTGGTCAGGTGAGCTAAAAATTGACGGAGAATGATCTGAAGATGATACAACTTCCGGTTATTGTACTTAAAAGTTTCCTTTTGTGGTTGAATTGTTTTATTAAGGTACGTAGAAAACATCAGATGAAATATCGGCAGTAATCTGAGTAGATGTGCCTTTTTATCTAATGTTTCATCAAGTACAATATTACAACAATAATATGACCCATGTGTACAAAACCTTGTTTTACAAGACGTATTGTAAGGCCCACATAACTGCTTACTTTTAAAGCTTTTAATATGTATTTTTTGTAAATTGTTAAAGGTTTCAAAATTACGGTCTCTTCGGATAAAATCTATTTCGTCGTTAAACGGAGTTACAATAACGATGTTAAGATCAATCATGAAGGTGAATATTTTTCAACATATATTGAATTTTTTCTTTCATTTAAAATTCAATGTATCAATAACATAATGACTTCAACTTAATTGCATTTTATTATGGAACCTTGATATCATGCTCAAAAGACGGCAGGGTTATTCTATTTGTATGATGACCAGTTCTGTTGGTAACAGGATTTTCCGTGTTCCAAATAGCCATAGTCCGTGTATGTGTTTTCTAACAGACATTTATAAGTATAAATAGCACATTCAGCAGATGACATGTTTACCAACTTTGTTTAAGCAGTGGGCGAATGGAATAAACACGTCAGGCTGGAAATGAATGCGTAGTTGAGGTACGAAAATAATGTATACCGGGGTATATTATTCACAAAGATTGCCGACAACGCAAGTAATATCTTTCATTTTGTCTCTCAACTGTTACAATATCGCTAACGTACACAATGTAACGTGCCAGTTTTACAATTGTCAATTATAAACACGGAAGTTTAACATACCCTTTCGCATACGTTTGTATTCATCGAGGTGTAAGGAATATCTAGTTATTCTAACTTCATGGTCTCTTTAAGGATTTGCAAAGTTTTGTAAACGACTCAGTATCGCACTAATAATATGATATTTAGGAGCTCATCAACACGTTGTTATTTCCCCTTCATATGCGCGTCGGTATACAAAAAAAGAAGTGTACAAAAAAATCCACATTAAGAAAACCAACTAAAACAAAAACTGTACGTGTATTTTCAGAATATTTTTATAAATAAAGTAATACATTGTTTTTGCATTTATATTTAAATATCTTATGAGTGATATTTCTTTCGCATGCCATTCTAAATTGTCTTCTACATCCTAGCAATTATTCGTCAATCACTGTAAATAGTTGCATTTCCTGGAAATGATAACGCATGGCGCATAAAATATCAATGATAACATACGGCGCATTTTTATACTTTCCATTTATCCAGTCAGCTGCAGAATGGAAAGAAAAGAAAGTATTTGTGTATTGTCTTCACATTAAATTACGCCAGTGTTGTGCGATAATTATTGTCTTATTCCCTTATCAGAAAGAAGAAACGCATTCATCAGGACAAAATGTTATAAAGGTACGGACGGCTTGATAAATTTTCTTTTCCAAAGAAAAAGTCTAAACTCATCTTTAAGAAAAATCTGATAAAGAAACCTTCATATTTGAACCGCGTCAAACATAAACAAGACGAAAAGTGACATCCAGATGAGATGAGTCTGTGTTTATTAAATCTGGTCGTTCATGGAAAGAACAACATAACAGACAATAATGAGTGTAGGTTCTATATTGAATTCATTAAATTGAATTCAATAATGTTATGCGAAAAAGTTTAATAAATTTAGTCAATTAGAAATTTCCTATTTATTTGATGTGCGGTTATTATTAAAACGCTACCATTTAAAGTAACGTCGCGCCAGTTTGACGCCAGATATTTGCACGACCTAGCCATACATTTTTTTTTTATTTTAAATGAAAAGTACGTCATAATTTGATCGAAACAACAACATGCAATTGCCTATCATATTCTGGTGTTTTTTGTGTTTTTTTTTTCTTTTTTTGTTGTTTTTTTTTTCTTTTTTTCAGCAAACGCCCCAAGAAAAATAATCAAATTCTTTAAAAAAAGTATTGTAGGTACCAGCAATAAAAGAGCTTATTAATTTATAGTAGTAAACATTTTACTGACTATAAAATATAAAGTTTCAAATCGGATTTGGATTTCGATGTATATATCCATGCCAGAAAACCCGACTGAAACCTTTAATGCGCACAGATGACGTCATTATCTTTTTGAAAGAACGGTTGTAAAAATTACTACGTTACTATGAAAATAGCATTTGTAAGTGTTCATCCGTGCTGTTCTACAGTAATTAAAAACTTCGACTTGAGCGATAGCTACAAATTAAGGCTTTTTTACTCGCAAAATTGGCGTTCTGAACTAAATAACACTTCTGATACAAACGTTTACAAATATATCAAAAAGGATTTTTCTAGAAGCTGTTACATAGATAAACTACCAAGCAATTTAGCTAATAAATTATTACTATTTTTGACAAGAAATCATCGCCTTCCAATTGAAATAGGACGATGGCAGAATATACCTATTCAAGACCGTAAATGTAATATATGTAACGATATTGGCGATGAATTTCATTATCTTTTTGTATGTCCAGAATTTGAAAATGATAGAAAAATATACATAGATAATTTTTACATAAATAGGCCAAGTATGTTTAAATTTGTAAGCCTGGTCACATCGGAAAATACCAATAAACTAAAGAATCTTAGTATTTTTTGTATGAAAATAATGCAACATTTTATTAGAACTTGATGTGTTTTACTAGACAATTTTAAATCATGTCTTAAATTACTATATGCGAAAGATAACTTATGACCTTTTTTCTTTTTGTGTGTCTTTGATGATTGAATTTTGTAATAATTATTCTTTTCACTTACATATATATATATACCCAGCTCAATTTTATGGCTTAAATAAATATGAATGTGTTAGGCTCTGTTATTGGAAATCTCAATAGCCGTTTTCTACTACATTATGTTATGTGATTCTATGTTTGTATGTATGCATTTATGTATGTCACAATTTGCTTATGTTTCCCGCTATTGTGGGACTTTTGCATATATTGAAAATAAAATCTGAAATCCTACATAAGTAATTAAAATATATTAATTGACATTTGTAATTGATTTTTACACTTGCAATATCTTTTTCGCAAAGACGTAGATTTAAATCTGAACTGCAAGTATATCATTTTTCCATAAAAACAATACATGTTGGTTGGCCTTTTGACGTCATTTTTAACTTGATTAATATACAAAAGCGTGCCACGAAAGCGCATGTGCAAATTTATGCAAATCACTATTTTTAAAACAGGGGTCTATGAAGAATTATGAAAAACAGAAGACGACTATGACTAGAAATTCTGTTCATTCGTAAATATTTGAAAGCGATATAAAATCCTATGTTATTTATCTTTTATCTAAGCTTTTGCCAACATTCTGCCGGACAAGTAAGGCATTAATTCTAACAGTGTGATAATATAACTGTACAATATCGGATGAATATTAAGAGTAAAGTTGAAGAAAATTGTAAAAACAATTTCTACAACTAAACTAAATGATCGTGTTTTTATAAATGTAAGGGGTGGTGTGATTTTATATATAATTGTTACACTTAAACATTTAATATGTTGTGATTGTTTTATGGTCAAACAGATCGTTAAAAGCTATATTTTCCTTGATTATATCTCATATTTAGGTATGTTGAAATAAAAAAATGAAACAAAAAATTGTTTTAAACATCTTTATTAAGATAGAGATGTCTTGCTATGTTTTGTTTTCTAATGGTAAATATTTTTTATGCAATATTTTCCTTGATTATATCTCATGTTTAGGTATAGTGAAAAAGAAAAAAAGTTAAACATCTTGATTACACAATAAGGGTATCTGGCTGTGTTTTGTTTTCCTAATGGTTCATAAGTTTTAAATTATTAAATAAAAAGCAATCATCTTCGGACTTCATGCAAATGTATGTCAATTCAATACCTTATATATAATTTTCATAAGTGTAGATAAAGATAAAATTTCAATGACATTTCTTCGTTCATTTTTTCTTGCTAAGATTTCCCCTGAATACCTGGTAGTAACGACACTTTGACCAATGGACCTGTAATTGGCGTATACTCAAATAAGCCAAAGTGCGCACCCGACCTGCACATCTCACATAAATAATACCTCATCATTTACAATCACGTTTTACCAAATATGTAACAACATGAAATATACACTCGATTAGACATTTCATCTGTACTCAGAAATGTCTGCAAAACTTATGTGATATACAATACGAGGTTGTTGAGAATATGCGATCATAGATTATATGAATGTAACACCGGCTGCCGGTACAGACTGGAATATCTAGCTCGAGTGTGACTGTTTACGGTGGTATCGAGGCTCTGGTAGATATTCCAGTCTGCGCCGACAGCCAGTGTTTGGTTATTTTGCTTACATATTACATATCGCTTATTTTCAGAACAGAAATTGCGAAAACTGATATTCTCATTACGCACTTTTTTACTTATAGTAGCGTATGAACTAAAAACAGTTAAGTGGCGTCATCGTTAGAACAAAAGGCTCGCGGCAATGACATCATTTAAAGCATGCGACTTGTCTTACATGGGGGTGTAAGGCAGGATTTTCTAGCATCGGTGTAAACGATAGATAATTCTGTCTGATATGCGAGAATACAATCATATTTCACTATGAAATTAGTCATAATTAGATGTTTGTGTGAAGAGCAAATTGGTGTTATTTCATTATTTTGTATATAATAACAGCTGTTTATCTAAGTAAATATCTCTGACAAGAAGAATAAATTGTGCCAGATTTGTTCAGATTTTGAAAAGTTGATAACAAAATTGATAAGAAGTAGTGGTCAGTAGGATGTGCAAGTCAAATTAAATGACAGCAATCCAAACAATAGGGTGAAATGATGAATATGTCAAACTCTACACATTACAGATAATGAAAGATGCAACACCCTATGTGCACCTCTAGCATCGGGGCAAACTGCAAATACTGTTATCTATTTCAATATCCTAATATAATATATTAAGACATTTGTAAAATGAAAAACAAAGACTATATTTTGACCGTGTGAATCTCCACACATCATCATCATCAACAACAACAACAACAACAACAACAAAAAACAACCATGAACATGATTCATATTCAGTCACAGGCGACTGCAAAGCAACTTCTTTATTGAATATCTTATTTGTAAAAGCTTTGTATTTATTTTATATTTACAAGAAACGCATAACTCATTCATATTAGATTTTATTACACTGATTAATAAGGGGTTACAAATTGAAACAATTACATGTATAATGATATTTGACAAAGCTTATACTTAGTAAAAAAATATTAAAAAAAAAGTAAAAATAAATGGGTTAAAGGGGACAAGAACAGAAGATCGTATCCTGTTCCGTATGAATATCCATATTTATATGTCTAAATTGAGTGGTTTTGGGGTCTGTAAAATTTAAGTTTCATTGAAATTTGACGATCGTTCATCACAATAGATTGTTTTGTATTAAAGATATTTATTTTCCAATTTCTATAAGAGTGATATAGCATAAATGTTCCAAAAGTTGGTATATTTTTGCTATATTTCATTTAAATATGAAGTATTTACACAGAATTATGATAACATTTAAAGTGTTATGCATACCTAATATACTGAAATACACTAGATAACCTTTAGAGAATACAAATGTTTGGATTATGTTCCAGAAAACTTTTGTTTATTGACATCTCTATATTAAATGTTCAATATATTCTCAAATAAACAAAAATCATAAACATTGGCAGATGATAAGTTGCATTTAAAATATATTTATTTGTTGGGACTAAACGCATTAAAACTGTTTTGAAAATTACGACGATTGGTGTCGATTGTACTCTTCAAAGGTATATTAAATATTAGTTTCCAATCTATTTCATTGTAACATGTGGTGTACGCAGTTGGTTTTTCAACAGTATTTGCATTCATCTGATATTTATGCAACAACTGGTTTCGTGACTTTGTTATTTGTTCTTAAGTTGTTATCCTTGATCAATGAAAGCATTCATACTCGTACATCAATATGTCATACAATGAAGTTGACACAGACCACATCCCCTTTAACCGGAAACGTCACAACTACAAGAATAATACCATAACTTCCAAAATTATAAGGAAACTGGTAACGTTGAAAGTAAAAATTAATACAAGGTTTAACATATACTTAAGGTATGGAGTGTCTAGGTTAAAGTGTGTTGACTGAACGGAGAACTACTTACAGACAAACATACGTTAAAACTTGAAACTGTTAAAAATACTGGACACCCGAAACACATGAATGCACATAAACAATCATTGTTCATTTAACACATGTGAAAATCTTTTTCTGTTAATGATTTCAGCTGCTCTAAACCCTTATCAAGTCTAACCGTAGTATATGAACGTTGTCGCTGTGATGCCGGTTTGTTTATATTTTCTCCAACAACCATTGAAATTAACTGGACTTCCTCTCCATATTTATCAGGATTATCGGCACACACTATCGCCCCACTATCGCCTGCTTGACAGAAAGCAATGCCTTTATGTCTGTCTTCTACAATTATATAGTTCTCATCCAAATTGTCAGTTTGCACTGCAATTTGTTCCGGCATAGTAATTGTACCAAGACCTAGTCGCGTTGTAGCTCCTTTAATGTGTACATTCAAACCTCTAAGCTTATCGGTATCATAATCGCAAGGTTTTCCTGGAACAGGACTCCCCTCTTCAGTAATATACCTTGAATCAAAAGATATGTCTCGCTGCAATGATGCAGCGGCAATATCAAGGTATTGTTTATTTGCCTCATCCTCAATAACTTCTTTCATAACCTTTCCAATATACGTTTTCTCGTCATTAGCAATGTACAGATTCCTGTCAGAACTTCTTTGAGCAACATGTCTAGAAAGTATGGCCCAAGCCCGTTCTGATTCTTCCGAAGACGTTTTAGCGAACCCCCCAAGAGTTCCAGCTCCATATTCAACTTTTACTCCCTGACCTACATGGCAAGTTGAACACTGGTTTATTCCAACTTTAACTAAAGAGTACTTTGTTATGTTATGTGTTTTCATTAAAGTATCGATGCCTTTTTTAATATCGTCTGAAATGTATTCATCGTTGACATTTATCTGAAAGGTACCCCAGCGATATCCGCAACTTCTTATCAAATGACTTATCATCTTTAACTCCTGCAACATCTGTAACACAAAGCACAATATACAAATATGAAAACACTTTTAATATTTTTATTGGAAACTATTCAGACTTGTAGTACATTTATATAGATAAAAAACAATTAGCAATTCATTGTTGCATTCTACAAAACGTACGATGCAAAAATGTTTTTATGAATATTCACAACTATTGAAAAAGGTCTCCTTTACTAAAAATACAGGGGTAACAGATTTAAATAGTAACCGTTTTATCAATCTTGTACAGGTTTTCAGCAAAACACGGTTTCTCATTGTTTGGAAGAATGCTTCTGTTAAATATTCCAACAAATTCAGTGTGAAGACGTTCTATCAACTCTTTGTCTGCATCTGGAAAATTGGCATGAATGCCGCGTTTGCGACTTTTGTCTGAAAACATATTTGACGAGAAAATTGTAGAATTATTTTATTTATGTTACCATTTATTTTTACCAAAAATACTATATTTACGTCAGATCAATAATTATAGAATCTTTTCAACAATGTAAGTAAATATTTTTTTCTTTGTATTTCTAAGACAAATAAAACATTCGAATAACAACATTTTTTGACATTTTGTGTCATCAAGTGTCAAATACTCCTTCAAACGCTCAACCATGTCATAAGAGTGTTACGAGCCAGGCGTAACGAGAAAGAAAAGCCAGCAACAAACTTGTAACAATAACAAATTTATTGTTGAAAAATTATTAAAGAAAAATAAAATAACAAATTACGTTTACAAATACCTGAAGTCCAAATAAAAATGAAATCTTAAATGTCTAGTCTGATCCTGGAATGATCCTTTTTTGAATAGCACAGTTAAATCCAAGTTAAATCCAAGAACACTTTAGAATAAATTCCCACAATAAAATCCACAATAATAATTTAATCTATTTTGAAATAATCCAAGCTCCAATAAATCACTTAATATCCAAGTTGAATAATACTCCAAATATATTGATGACTTAAAACGTAACTGAAGACTTAAAAGATCACTGATGACTTAAAAGGTAACTGATGACTTAAAGATAAGAGTAATGAAAAATGTCTCCTTATATATATTAACTAAGAAGTTTCTAGAATAGTCTTCCATTTACTACAGTAATCATAATCTAGCAACTTCAACAATAAAGATCATTCCAGAAATTTCTATCTAAATATTATGCATGAGTTTTCTACAACAATTAAGAACGTTCTAGTACATACATGTCGTTTATGTTCTAAAAATAGAACAATGATAATATTGGAAATACCAACTGGCCAGATACAAACTATATACATGTAATATGTTGCATACATAACAAGAGCAAGTTGATAGTTTCACTGGATTTAGTGGATCCATTTTTCGACATATTGTTTTAGAACTAAAGTTGTGAAAACAACAACAAATACACGCCTTGATAATAATCGAATGGTAATTACTTTCATTTAGATCATGAATTTTTGCAATGCCTAACGATTGAATTTGTAATTAGGAATCAAACTTGTGACGTTCTTTGTTGAAATCAAAACAGTCTTACTTTATGCATAGGTAAGAAATGTTGGAATGTCACAAAGTCGGACTTAGATCGCATTAAAATACGACTTTGCTTCTAAATTTGTATGTGTTAGAAGAAAACCGTTATCTTTATGACATAACTACCATATAATAATAACATTCTGACCTTAACATATGTATGTGTTTATTGATTGTTTGATGCTTTGTTAAGTCTTAAATTTAGGTTAAAACCGTCGAACATCATACCTTTAAGATAGTCTTTCGGTAATGCTCTCCCGCAAAACAAATTCTAGCACACTTTCTTATGCACCCTTATATACAGCTTAGAATGTATGATTGATAACTTAAGATTCGGTCTAGTTCAATAACTTTGTAGTATCCTTAGCCGAGTGGTAAGGGTCGTTGACAACGAATCACTAGCACTTCACCACTGCGATTTCGAATCATGCTAGGGAATTTGATTATTTTTGTGTTAGGAAGCTATCCATCTAGCTCACAAAATGTCAATGGTTCTACTCAGCTGCAAATAATGCAGTGATGTAGCTGATCCCTTGCTCTACCAGTTTTGGCAGGTTGTCACCATGTAGACTTTTAAAATGTTAGTTCGACGTAAACCAAACAAAAAATAATTTACCTTGACTATTTTTAACTTCTAATGATTGTTTAATGTCTTCAGACTGTGGTCGGGGTGTTCGTTCCGCTGAATTAGCTTTAACTGAAATATCGTAAATACATTAATCATGCAGTAATGAATAACTCTATTAAAATATATATATATAAAATATTGGTTTATGTTATCCTTTTAGGAGTTATTAATATTGGGAACAAGCGCTGTTTTACGCACGCATTGAATGGCTGGGAAGACATGGTCAACTGTACACTGCAAACATTTAGAAGAGCCGGGTAAAGTGCTACCCAAACGGATGACTGTTTAGATCTGCGCAATTGTTGAAATTTAAGGGAAAGCGTTACGACACGAACATTCCATTACGCCCGTACTCTTTTTATAACATGTCAGGACGGATAGGTTTCAGTTAATGTCGTTATGTGCCAGGAATCCGACACCGTGTGTCGTAATTATATATAGACAGTGTTGCACGTAATGGTTTATCATAATGTCTTGAACATTTATTAATTACAACATCAAATTTGAGCATAAACGTAGTATATAAGACATGAAAGGCATCAGACCCGTTACCAAATTTAACCAAAATAAAACATGTGACCTCGCTTTACTATGTAAAAGACGACTATAATATTTAAGGTTTTGAAACCAAATCATCTGAAAGGAAGAATACAAAACTTCAATGAAATGTAAATTTCTCCAAAATGAACATGTTTCCTATTTTCTTAAAGACAACAAATGATTAGAAAGGCAGATGTTTTATGAAAGCGCAGCACAACAGCTCTTACAACGATGTGTTAATCCATGTGCGAAACAGTTCCCCCATAGGTAGAGACAAGGAATTTACGTTGATTTAATTTCAGCCTGGTTTCACGATATTAAATCTCGGTAAAATACAGACAGTCCATTATTTGTATATGGAGATAAGAAAACATAGTATTTCCATTTGAAGAAAATATAACTTAAAATGTTTTGCAACAAAGCCAGAAATTTGAATTTGGTCCTGAAGTGTAAAACTGATATGCGAATGTTTATATGTACTTGTTTTTTTATTGACGATCCGCAAAAAATCGCGTCATTCGACAGTAAATCATGCGTCTTTTTCAAAATCATGAAAGACTCGGCTGCTTTGCAGCAAAATAATTGTATAAAAATTAAAAAAAAGACTCGTCTGCTTTGCAGCAAAATAATTGTATAAAAATTAAAAAAAAATACTGTCGACTCCGTCTGATTTAGGTCGTTGTTTCGTTGACTCGGTACTTCGAGAATTCAAGGAAAGCTCGCCTGAAAAGAAAACAAAATCTTTATTTTTTTCAATTAATAGTTTAAACGTGTAACGGAAATTAACGAAAACAGGATTCAAAGCTTATTATAGCATAGATATCTACTTTTATCTTCTGTTTAAACTCAAGTCGCCATGTTTTTATGACAAAGAATGAATCATAAACTTATCCAGTCAGACATATAGAATAGCGCTGATGCACTTTTTACTTGCATGAACATAATGTAGAAATCATTTGGACTTATTGGATATTAGCGTTCTGTTCTTGCATTGTGTACGTAACGCTTCTTAAACTCTGAAAAACAATGACTCTTAAACATTGCCTGCCTAGTTATTTTCGTTTGCATCGTACTATTCTTCAAATGTGACCAAAAAAACCTTATAAATCCAAATTTGCAGTTTAGATTGAAAACAATTCAACATACATAACAGATATGTTGATAAAGACTCCGAGGTACGTAAATATTACCCTGTAAATCATCTCTTTTTACTTAATTTATCGAGATATACTTATTACCTGCCACGTCGTTGTCTGTAAGAACAGAATACAAATTTTCACATGCACTCCTCATTCCAGTCAAAGCAAACCTTTCTAAATGGATTGACAAAGCTTTGAATAAATCATCATATAAACAATCACCAATTCTTTCCTTACTACCTAATATCTGTGTAAGAATGTATTCCGACTCTTTATCTTTTCCTATCACAATAGTACGTTCATGGAAATCTTTTGAAATTGTCAAAGTATCTTCATCTCCTAAAAATATGAAGTAAGCGCCTTTGACTGATTTCAATTCATTTTCATTTTCAGCTTGGTACTCTCTTTTAGTAACAGAGTCCTGATGTCTTGGTGAAACAATCAATTCTATGTCGATAAAGGGTTCTTTCGATTTCTTAGATTTGCACATAAATATGCATACATTTTCGTCACTGAGATCGTCTTTAAGTGGGTCACATTCATATTTCTCCATCAAACAGTTATACCGCTTGGCCAAATCTTTCCTCATCTTTAGCATGTACTGATACCGTGGAAAACATTTCACTGGTGCGCTTACCTTAATAACATCTATATCTTGAAGTCGGTTGCGTGCCATGATGTTGTCCTGCATTGTAAAAATCATGAGAAAATATTAATAAAAATATGAATATATCAACATGTAAAGTTTGCTTGCGATTAAATATGATCAGATTTATCTGTAAAATTAAACAAGTATCTGTAAACATTATTAATGATTGACGTAACAAATCACAAACCGCGTTGAAAAAATATAGTTATTCTTGTTCGTCGTACTTCAAAATAACAGGAAAAATGAGAATCAGATAGTATGCAACAAACGACTGTTCATCATATACATAAACCATACTCTACTAACACATTGTATCATATAAAGATAATTTATATTTCATTGTGATAAAAAGTTACTACTATATAACAATTGCATGTGAAATTCAATACAGCACACGAAATTGTGAGGAAACATAGATCCCTATTCTTACCTTTATTTGAATGACAATGAACTTATCAACAAACCTTTGTAACGAAATATGTTGTGGTGATATTCTTATAGTCATCGATTAATATGATAATTCTTTTTGGGATATTAGCATTCTGGTTTGAGCTGAAGTGAATAAAAACATCGATTTTAAGTAGGATTATACGTTAAATCATTTCAAAACAATAATACAGATAAGTATTTTTTAAGTCAAAAATATGTATAATTTTGTAAATTATATTAATTTAATGTTATTATGTTTGAAACTCTCAATTTTAAACAAGTTTGGCTCATTTGTATAAGTTCTTCCCTTGCTCATTTATAATCCTAATCACGACTGTGTCGTCTTACACTTAACTTGTTGAATGCGAATGTGTGTATAACTAAATGTTCTCAAATAACATTGTGTCAATGAAATTCACGGAGATCTAAAATCCAATTCGTTAAAAAACCCTAAAAACCTGCCTTTTCAAGGATTCAAACCATGGTCTCTACACTCACAGAGGTAACACTTTACCACCACACCATTATGCTTAACACATAGCAAATGAATGATTGACTAGTTGGTTACAGATTTAGGCGAGAAATAATATTTATGCTTTTATATAAGAATAATCGACACCCCTATTTGTCAATATTGATGTAAACAGATAATGAAAGGAATAACGAATTCTACTCTCCTAAACAAAAAAGGGTCTAAAACATCAACCTTTTTGTAAACAGTTATTAAATATGAATAGAAGTAGCGTTTGCAGTTAGTTTCCACGAGAACACTGTGGCCTAACGTTTGTTATGCTTCACTTGACACATAATAAACATATAGCGAGCAGGACAGTTTGATGCAGGTAGAAATCGTTGCGCCAGACATTTTTCAACATAATAAATTCAGGTCTTCGACCTGGGAAGGTAAATCCTTTAACTATGCTAACAATATAGTGATAAATTGTTATCCTAAAAGCGTTTTACAGTCGCAAACTCTCAAACTCGCTTTGCCAAGATAGAAAGAAGCCATCTTTTCTGTATCACGCCCGGCAAACTGTCGCTCCACTACAAAATTGTGGTGTACGGTAAAGCGAGCGAAAGGCATTTCAGAGATAGGCCGATTTAAACGTCTACTTGTAAGTTTGGTTTATGTTTTTGTCTTGTAATTCATTTAAGTTGTATTTTTCCAAACATCGATCACGTTAGTTCTGTGTAGGATTGTTTTAGGCTTCAAATGATCTAAGCTATTACAAAAAGAAAATTATATTGAACCCGGGAAAACTTTATCATCTGACGAAGTGATCGGCGATGGGTTAAATATCAAACTTCCAACAATTGACACGCTCTACACTTTTGATTTCTTGAAAAGTGTTTTAGAAAAATATCAACGCGTAACATGAGCTAGTTATTTGTGCAAAATAAACTACTCTTTGTGGATTTCTTAAATTTGTATATCCATTTCTTTCGAAAGTAGTGAAGCCAAAGGGCAAGAGATGGAGCGAAAGGTCGATTGTTGGACGCAAGGCGATATTAAGTTGGTGTTAAGTTTGTAGTCTACGAATTTCTATAAATAAAATCTTTTAAAGTTGAAATAGACTTAATAAAATGTGAAGCCGGAGAAATATGATAATATATATATATTTATTTCTACTATAACTAGGTCTATCAACTATTGATGATTTTAGTCCGTACATCGACTGAGCACTGCCGTTTTTATTACGTTCGTTTTGTCATAGATACCCTGTGAATAATATTACTGATATTTGTTTAACTTATATTTTTCTTAAACCAAGATTTGTACTAACAATATACAGTATTTGATTATAAAACAAACAGTTCTATTTACACATTGAGAGGACAATTATAAAATAAACAACAGTGCTAAATAAGAGAGGAAGTATCTTGAAACAAAAAATGAAACACGCGTTTTATCCTTAGAACGACTGACACTTTTCATGGAAATATCCAACCTTATTTGAGCTATTAATTACAGATGAACTCGGTAGTAGTGACCATTTAATGTGCCCCGTGCATTGCATAATTTTGTCTCTGTTCTGTAACTTGAATATCTAAAGTTTCGGAAAAAAAACATAACATTTTGGCGACAACGATCGCGTTACACGTACCTGCTCAGAAACATTTGCACGCGGTAGAACTAAAAATATTCGATTTTGTCGAATTTGCACTGACACACGTTTTTAAAATGTACAAACCGTGTCAAAAATCATGATTGACCTCGAATAAGTGGCATCCTGTTTAACGACATGGATATGATTAATTTTCTGACCTCATCCAAATTTGGAACATAAATAATTGAATCTATACGGCAGCCATGGGTTACACCTTTGCGATTATATTAATTAAGCTATAGTCGTTGAAAGTTATCACGCTTAATAAGTTTCTTTAAAATGTATTTATATCTCGGTTTCAACACTTGATCATGCCTATTTTCACTTCTATAGCTTTTACATGTAAATATCGCCTTACTTTCAACATCGAACATTTCGCTTCATCTCTTGGCCTTTGGCTCCACAACTTTTGAAAAATATCGATTTACAAGTTAAAGAAATCTCCAGGAGTAATTTATGTTGCACGGAGAACAGTTTCATATTTTTGTACCTCACTTTTTAAACAAAACATCCAAAGTAAATGGCATTTTAATGGTTGGGAAGTTCAATATTCTACAAATCGTCGTTAACTCAAGAATTTATTTCTGATATTTACAGACTGACTCAATCAAATACAAATTGACGCACTGTCTGCCGGCAATAAAAAACATGCTTGGTGATTGGCTACATTTTCTCTCTTTACTTATTATGCCAACGGGAAAAGAGATAATACAAATCAGATAGCCTCATGTTTCGGTGTTTGATCTATTACTTAAGTCAACGGTGGTAGATTGTTCTGTATATATTCTTGATATTCAGGCCGAAAGTCAGATGAATGCGACGACGTTTACAATTAGAGATAATAAGCAATAAAACAATTGATTCACAGATTTTGTAAGACGAGAAAACAACTATACAAATCAATAACGAGGAATGTCAATCATGTGAATTTATAATTCGAAAGTTCATAGGTTCAGTATTCATCTAACTTTATAAAAAAAACTATAAATAATTAAGAAACATGTAGAGCTACGTGGATATTCCTTTTTTTGTAAATTACGAAGCTTACGAGTAGTGTATGGGCAGTTTAAAAGAAACTTGTACGTGATATACGGGCACGTTTAAACGACGGCTAGACATGTTGTTTTAGAGTTGAATGAAATTTACGACATGGAATTCAAATGATAACATTACAATCAGTAACGATACAGATTTTATAATGTAAAGTTCTGTTTTATGGCCAAAGTTTTATTTTCTACACATTTTCATAAAAAAACTAATTTTCTGAATTTGGATAACTTAAACAAGATGCATTGTATTTACAATTATAAACGTGATGTAATCTTATCAGGCTAGGTTATAAGTAAATATGCATTGCGATGACCTTTAGCTTTTCCTCTGCTGTTTTTTGCGGTGACCATCTGAATTCAGTTTGACTTCCTGTAAAACTTACAGGAAAGAACTCAATATAAGAAGAAAATTCATTTGTCAATTTAAATTACAAATTGAAATCTGTGAATACCATTTGTCATTCTAAAACAAAATGTAAAAGATAGTTCTTGCCATTCTAAAATAAAACTTTAATGATAGTTCTTATAAAAGATGTACAGGATGGTTCTTGCCATTTCATGAACAAAATATAAATGATAGTTATAAAAGGAAGTTCTTGAATTGCTAAGATATTACCATACTTTTCCCTCAAAATTGTTTACACTGCGTTTCAATCTATTTACATTTTCTAGTGAACAGTTTATATTATACAATAACTTACTGATTTATAACTTTTGTCCTGTAAGATTATTAAGTTTACATAAAAATATCGAAAAACACACTAAAAATAAGAACTTAAAAAGGTACCCTCAGTTTGTGATGTTCGATAAGTTGATGTGTGATAATTTGCATATATTTTTGCACATTGTATATACATCAAGTATGTATAAATATAATTGCCTACTTCGAAGATATATGTGTAAGAAATCGAGTTCACTTATCGTAAAAGATAGGATCACTAAGGAACACATAGTAATATGTTACAGTGGTCCATCTTTTAAGATTAATATCCATTTTTAAATCTTACCATTGATTACTATCTCCATTGTAACAAAAGTATTTTTACATAAGAAAGGAAACGTACGATTTCTTACGTATTTTCAGTGTGTTTTAATATTTTCCTCTGTACGTGATTAATTATATCACTAAATCGTGCCTATTAAAAAACTTCCCTTTTTATTCGTTTTGGTTAAACTTAAATAAATTTACCTCATTTTATCGCAGTGATAAGGCATAACATGTTATTATCTTGTATATGTTATATGATTTGTCAAATATGATTGCACCATGATATTAAGTTTTTAAAAATTCAATAGACGGTTTATTGTGAATGTCCCCTACTGCTTATAACAGTGATATACCAATACAGATAAGATAAAATAACGTGACAGTTTTCTATGACATAAATAGGACCATCAGATTAAGCCATACTTTAAGTAAAAAAGTAGATACATTTTATTTCATTTTTGTGTCTCAATAACTGTTTAACAGATGAAATGCAAAGGTTCAAGAGAATGTTGTCTCGTTATATACAACACATATGTTTTCAAGTGAAACAAATGGTTCTGTAAGGAAATAGTAAGTTAAAACGTATATCATTCAACAATGAACACAAAATCATTGCAAGGTTAAAAACATTTAAAGTTCTGTATAACATATCTTTAATAAAATACCTTTTGAGGAATAACATTAAATTTGTATAATATTTGTTGTAAATTTCTGTGATAAATTCAGTCTTAGCTGTGTTTATATTCTATTGAACACCGGTTTGGAGTTTTTATGCGTGGATATTGACCACGAAGTCCGTAGGCCTGAATGTTTAATATTCGCATCAAAACGACCAATGTTTTATCGATTCTTACTGGACAATCAAAATTAGGGGGATCACTAACGCATTTTTGTTTTCGAGCGGAGATTTTTCCGCAGTCAATTTTCGTATAAGGCTTTTTTTATTACGCATTCTATTGTCGCATAGGTATACAGATATTTTTAAAGAAATAATTAGGATAAAATGATTCACCTTATCATTCCAGAATTATTTTATCATTATTTCAACAATTCAAACTTACCTGTCAGACTGGATTATATTGTGAACGATTAGTCAGTCTTCAAATTCCACACCTATCAGTTTAAAATGACGTCATTTTGGCGTCTTCTTAGAATAATTCTGACAAGCTTAAAAACAAATCTTGTTTTGAGTGTACTGATTGTACAACTTATAATAAAAAATGCATCCAGTTTCTGATTCTTCAGAAATAAATTCAAGGTAAAAAAATAGCATTGTGGTCGACTGACTTAAGATTGCTTCAATGACATTTGTATTCCCATTGACTTTTTACATATTCTGTTTATTTACCTGCCAAATGAGTATCCTAAAGAAAAAGTATATTGAACTTATTGGCCCTTAGATATCTATTCAATTGTTTTTACTTTATCTTAACTACGTTCACAGTCTAAAACAAAATACCACAAGTTCTATTTTCAAGAAAATATCAATTTTACTTGACCTGTAAAAGGGATCGCTTCCCATACATAGTTTATTCATTTTCATTCTTGTGTTCAAAATACACAAAGTCAGTAAACAATTTATGGATTTCAATGAATTTCTGTGATAAAGATTTTTTCTCAAAAATAAGCATAGTATACAGTATCTTTAAACTATAAAATTATTCCACTTATGTAGAGCATTTAAATCATAAACATTTGTGTCGAGTTATAAATACAAGGGTTCATGTATATTCTTCCACAGTAAGGATTCATAGTTATTTTATACTAATAAGAAGATTCCTCAGCCATACTATATATTCATTGCTCTGCTCCATCCATAGCCTACGGTACAACACTGTAACAACTATTAAACATACATGTTACATGAATGATACTCTTGTTATTCAAATTCTGACGATTTGTAGTTGTGCTTACAAATTTCGGAGTGACTTAGGTTATATTTTTACATTTTTACAACACGAACGATATATATAACAAAGGATGAAAAATGAAATCAAAATAAAACTATTAAAATCATATTATATTAGAAATAAATAAAAAATGATAATGAAATTGAAAATCACGTGTTCTCTTTATACAGAAAAGAAAGAAAAGTGAAAAAAAACATTGTTTTAATCATAACATTATCTTATATATATCAATACTATTAACTTACTTTATATCATTCTCTTTGTCGGTATTTCCATCACCAAAGCCAGATTTGATCTGAATAAATGTGATATTCACTCTTATAATAAAATACTCTTGTGAATTTAATAAAAGCAGATAAGTATCTTATATTTAATCTTAATAATCAATACAAAATTGACCGATGTACACTTGTCTACTCTACAAAAAAATAAGACGCACTTGATACGGATAAAACTTTAAAAAAAATATTTTTCGCTTCCTGTTACAGGTCCCAGATAGATAAACATTGACTAAATAACAGCTGAGATATCTTTACGTCTTTTGCAATCAAAATATTTAATTTCCTTGATTCGGTTTTTAATATGGTAGTCATTTTAACACCGTGTTTACATTTAACCACAATAATAACATATAATTTGATAAACATATGACTGAATAAAAATTTATGTTTAAATTATCTTTATCAGTTATTGCTTGACAGTTTCATATTTGTATATATCAATTTAGTCATGTGGTGTAGAGTTAACCATCTTTAAACAGGCTGATTTGATGTAAATTGTGACTCATTTTAGGATTGTTTCCTTTTACTTCTTTTGGTTAATATATTCACAAATGATGAATCAATCTTAAATCAAGTGGTAAAGGTATCATAATTGGAAAAATTAAACGTGCGAGTGGTTTGTGTGAAAGTAGATTAAATAATCCCTAAAAAAATTCCAAAAACAGGCAATGCAGGTTCACTTGCACTGAGTCTGTTCATGGACGGTACAGTCAAGTGCAAACTATCTTATCACCCCTAACACCGGCTGAAGCAGAATTAAAAAATAACCATTAGAACGATTTTTTTTATATTTTTTACACATCCGCAGATGTGTTGATATGGCGGCTATTATGGAACCTTCAATGTGACACTTTGATTTTCATAAAAGCGGCGTATTGTCTCCAATGAAAAGAAGGCATGTGCCCTAAACTGCAAACAATAGGCGGAACTCAAACAGCTTTATAATAAGAATTTTAATGCCAATACGTAATTTCAATTATGATCTGGTTGGTGTTTTACTTAGAAATACATTTTCTGTAGTTCAGATGATACACAGATTGAGCGGCGGGTAACAGTATAATCACGTCAATACGGCTAGATAAGGCTTGGTTTGTCGCTTCGATGTCCTCGCTGTTCTTTTGACGGACATTAGATTTTAAATGCAACCCATCGATATGCCTTTTGCTTTTGATTCAACCGTTGCATTAAGCATGGTGCGCACGTCCTATTGAAATGTCTTCTTGAAGACTTTCTCTACTTGACATTAATTTTGTGAGCATCTTCAATGGCACATCGGTCATATCCCGTCTTCACGTCACTCCCTACCTCTTTAACCTTTTACCCCTTGAGCATATTGCAAAAAATGGCCGTTTTCATTGAAAAGCCTCCTGTAACAAGTTCAAACTGCTATGAAACTATGAAAAATGCTTCAATACTGATGAAACTAGGCACAAATGTTATCCAGACCGCTCTGTAACAGCATGCTCAATCGTAAATTTCCTGTTTGCATGGCAAAGGGGGGACGTCTCAAAATTGCCAAAAAATCACTATTTTGCATTGTTTTTTCCATCAAAACTGATTTCAAAGTGCTGCAACTTCTCAATGAATTGAGATAGAGTAAAAGGCTTTTCAGCGTCGGTTACTAGTTACCCTAAGATCGACCTGAGGTCATTTTTAGCCTGTCACTTGTCCCGCAATTTTTCTTATTGCGATGAGGGCAACTGCCGCCCCCTTCAAACCCCCCTAACAAAAGGGAGCACATCCCCCTTATCTGGCAACCCCTGATGTAACATTTGAATTGGGGCGGTGCCGAAAAAGTTGTCACTTTTTTAACAACATTTCTAAACGAAAAACAGTGTTTGGGGCCTAAATAGGGCATTTTTTCACTGTTTGAGGCCTGCAGAAAAGGGGGGTGGGGCAAAAAGGCCGTCGAAAAACGCTTTTTATAAGGGAAAGGTTAAGGTAGTGAATAAACACTTAATTAAGCAACTATGAGATATAAACTGATCTGGAAAACGTCACAACGGAAGAATGAAATCGCCTTTCCCTGAAATCCCGACTGATGCTCGTGTCGATTGTTAGGAATAGTTTCGAATAAAAAAACATAAGATTTATGTAAAAATTACCGACGAATAATGATTGTTATGAATGAAAAAGATTTGTTTGCAAAGCGTGCAATATGAACTCTAAAGATTGGCATGGTGTGCAGAAAAAAGGAATCCATTCAAACGGATTATCACAAACCAGCGTTTAAACGGTATAAGCTATGCCATGCTGCGGCGATGTTTGCGATCTATCTGCGCTAACCTCGGCATTCTTAATTTTCCTTTGACGCCGTGAGAACGCCCCCACCCATAGAGTGACAGGGGTTTAAAACGTGTTGTTTTTTTCCATGCTAGCTTTATATACGCAAGGATTTAATAAGTTACAAAGATTTTTGACAAGTTATTTGGACCTTTATAATACTGCATGTTTATTATAGGATAACTATGAAGTTAATATCATATATATTTATAACTGTTGTCAATTAATACAGTCAATTATTTTGTTCTGTAATAAAGGAATGAATTCTTGATACAGATTCTTGACAGGTTATATGGCCGTATATAAAAGGTTGTGTGCAATATATACATCACCTTGCAGACTCGGGATATAAAAGCAAACATACAAGGCCATATAACATGTCAAAATATTTTTAACTTGTAATATGAATGGTTTCTGTACAAGTGCAATAACTGGAGTAGCAGTCTAAGTAATATTGCAAAATAACAAATTTTATGGGCCATAATAGCCTGTCTTAATCTTTATAAAAAATTTGATACAGCAAAACTTCTTTTATTTTGAGAAAAAACAACGAAATAACATAATTATTTGATAGCAACTATGTTTATAACTTATATATTAAAAACATATGATTATGCAATAAAAAGAGACGATACAAACATGTATTCCTACTTGGATATTGTATAATCACCGTTAACTTAGGATATTTTGCCTGCTTTTTGAATTTATATTTTAATGTCTTGTTTGTAATATGCAGTCTTCAAACCTCAGGTTCTCTTACAAAAATTCAATTTTATTTAGTTTTGCCCATTGTTTTCTGTTTAGAGCACACGCATTTTTTTTAAATTTTGGGACCATACGCCAAATGTCATGGAATGGCACTAACGTGTCACATTGAATGTTCCATGATAACCGCTGTATGAACACATCTGCAGATGTTTTAAATTCAAAAAGTCACCATTTTCATGTTTGGATGTTGAAATCAGCTTAAGCCGGCGCTAGGGGGCGTGGACGGTTAATTATCCTACATGTATAATGCTGTTATATGTACACTTGATGAAATACTCAGATAAATTTGCGTCTCTTGTTTTAAGTATATTTATAACAGCCAAATAATTCTTCCAGACCACATAAAATATAATTCTCAACATAAAAATAGTAAATATGATCTACTGACTTTGCCAAATATGATGACAATTTCGACAAAGCTCATGACACTGTAGCAAGTCTTGAAACATTGACTTGAGATGAAATGTCTATGCTATTCGAGAGGGAGTTTGAATAGTTAGAGCTGTTATGTAGAATTCTTCACAATAGTTGCAATATATTTGGAGGTATTCAAGTTATATAGAGTTTTATCACTTACCACTAGCGTCAAGTCCTCTTTAATATGATAATAATGGACGGTTTTGCTTTATATTCAAAAATAAAATACTCACAAAAAAGTACATAAAATATAGATTCGCAAAAATGAAGACTTTTTTGTAAAATATGCTCAAGAAACAACATTTCGTGTGTGTCACTTTCTGTAACATCCTGCAATGACCCCTTGAAAAATGAGTGCAGAATGTTTAGCATTTGTTTCCACGAAACTAAGAAACTATGATCCAGCAGCTTTGGATAATCATTGTTTAGAAAAGAACAAACAGTTTATTCAAGACTTGTACAACTTAAACTCAGGTTAGAATTTACATAGTAATAAAAACAGAGGGGTCAAAAGTACCTGAGAAGAGTTCCAGCACCGCAATGATTATTTTTAAGTGTATAAATAAAGCTGATATAGATAATGCAGCTCAGGAATTCTATGCAATAATACCATGGTGTGGAGGTAATACAATCTCAAGAAGAAATGCCAGATTATATAAGTGTAACGTTACAGGGTGTTAAATTGTCTTAAAACGTCCTGTTTTAAGGCAGTACCTGCTACCAGGAAAGTATGAAATACCATGGACCTATTTTTGTAAAGTTTAGTTTAAATGGATAAAGGGTTTTGCATCTGACATGATATTGAATAGTGAATGGATATGTTTGCATTATTTGTTGGTTGTAACATCTCTATTGAGCAAAATTATGTTGTCTCATCAAAATATCAATTATAAGCGCAGACTTTAAAAGGCAGAGATACCCTATAGATGTAGTGATAATTCTCGAGTCACATAAGGTATAAATTCCGAAGCTGTAACATGTTTTAGTGCTGAAATTATTCTGCGGTAAAGCAAAAGTCAGGAATGTATGTAGCAAAATTGATGAATCATTATAATGAACATTGTGATTGCAAAACAGATAACTTCAAATAGTTGTGCGCAATTTATGTTATAAAAGCAAGTGAAAAGGTGACGATATTAAACAAAAGATTGTGGATTGGTCATTAAATAACATTCATGATGAAACATTGCAAAACATTAAGCGTACACAAAATGCAAGAAGAGGTTAAATTATGTAAATAATATTTCTAGTTCATTTTTCATTATGAAATGAATTGTACACTTATTACAGAAATAAATTTCAGAAAACAAGTGGGCGTCATTTCATGGAATTAATCCTTATTAACAAAATATGACGTGCTACATTTGTCTACTCAGAAATGAGCAAATGCAAATATTATTATAGACCGAAGTTGCACTGACTTTCTCTTGCTGTAGGCATAACTTTTCTATGAAAT